TACCTTTGCAACAACAGATTATTATCATTTCTGGTATATTTTTATCAATTAACACGCTTTTATTGGCTTCACCTGTATGTATGTTTGTTCGTTTGTTGTTTGTAACTCTTCTTTTCCGTTTGGATGCTCGAGATAGTATTTGACAGAATTATCGCCATTATTGCTTCATGTATTCGCGGGCAGATGGCGCTGTGCGCAACCACCTTGATATAATTCGAACACACTTAAATGTTTTTCTTCATTTGTAATCCCATTGCAACCTTATTCCTAAGCCTCCTCCTTTAAAAGCGTGTCTTTTAGTTTCTTTAAACTATATTTATTCACTGTTCTCTTCTATTGGTTGTTTCAAAAGTGTTTAATTTTCAGATGTGGAGATTAGCCAACGCTGTGGTGTTTCTTATTGGACAGAATATGAAATGAAATAATGCATTTATTCGATATAAAATCTTCCAAACAGGTCAACTCGTCATATTTTGGGAGTAAAGTAAATACCAATTTTTTGTGAATATGAAAATATAGACAATTAAAAATTATTTAATTAATTTCAGTTGTTTATATTCCTCTGATTCATTGAAAGTGTTACTATCTTTATTCGGGTTTTTTCGAGAGTGGCAAATAAACAGTGACGAGGTTCTTTTTTCATTTGTGGTAAGTAAACGTTTTGATCGCTATTAGTAACTTTTTTTCTCAGTGTACTCCTAATGAACGAACTTTGGGAATAACTTTTGAAAATTCCTGACACTTCATTGGGCAACCTCTACCCTTTTTGTCCGTTAATTATTTGCAAAGTACTTATGTTTAGCACAATAATTAGTAGAGCTGTTTGGCGATTAATCCCGTGAGAATTACAGTCACCGTCGAGATGGTAGAAACGAAGGGATTTTGAAGGGCGTTTGAATGAAGTGCGCATCTTCCTTCACACCCCCATTTCAAACTTTGTCCTCCCTCCTCGTGATAATTATGATAACAGTGTCGATTTATTCATCAAGGAGAAAGGAAGTACTTTCAGGTGAGTAGATCCATTTGAAAATATTCACTTCTGTGTTTAGATTAGTTGGTTATTGGTAGCTGGAGAATTTTTTCACTAAACAATAAGAATTGTTTAATCAATGAGCAATTTTTTTCGCATTTAGTTGTGTTATCCCAGGTGTGTATATGATTTACATATCTATAATCTGTTCAAACTCTATTTTTTCGTTGAGCAGCTGTCTCTCCTACGAACTACCTCTGCGAGCTAAGGATTAACGAGGTCTAACCTCTCAACGTGCGGTTCCTAGCTCGGATAATGCTGATATTTATGAAAAAACTCTCAAACACAGACTGCCCTCTTGAAAGTAATCGACGATCTTGCGGGATTCAGAGATCAATCAAAAGTCACCATTTTAATACTGCTTGATCAAAGTAAAGCTTTCGATTTAGTTAATTTCGATTTACGCATCAGTAAGCTCAAGTTCATAGGATTCGAAGACATTTCTCTTAAACGGATGACCAGCTATCTCACAGGCCGATCACAGAGGGTCAAACTGGATGATTACCCATGGTCATCCCTAAAAGAAACAATCTCAGTTGTACCGCAGGGAAGTATTTTAGGACCCTTGATGTTTTCAGTGTTTATTTTTGATTACCCCACTTTCTTATCACATTGTCAAGTACATCTATACGCAGATGATATACATTTATATTTGTCTTCTCATAACACCGTTACAGAAAGTTGTGTGGCGAATATAAACACAGATTTGCACAAAACATTCCTATACTCGGAGAATCATGGACTGAAAATCAATCCAAATAAAACTTTGGCCTTATGCATAGGGTCTCAATGACAAATAGTATACCATATGGTGAACATGTCACCCCATTTTTGTTAAAAATGAAGGAGCTGAATGTGAGGTACAGAGTCCAATATTTGATAAACTTTTTTGTTTAAGTTACTTCAAACTAAAACACCTAGTTATTTATATAGTTTATTAAGCAGGCATTCTGACATACATATGGTCAATTTGAGAATTAACTCATTCAACATTACAAAGCGCTAAATTTTTAAAGCCACGTGCGTTCGGTGGCAAGTTATTGATTCATTTAATATAGGAAGTAACTGTAATAAGAATGTTTTGTTCCCCTGCGATTTTTTCCTGCTCCCACCGAATCATTGATTTCTTGAAAATAATTGTTTTGGATGAAAATTTTCTTCCACTTTGTATTTTAAAGAATTTTTTGTGCATGATCTACATGATCTACTTCATATGATGAAGTAGAAAACCAACAGGCTTTTTTCCTAAAAACTCTCAAAGCAATTCTGCAAAAACATTCATCTTCCTGAAACTCATAATTCTGTATAAATGCCTCGGTTTACGAGCTTCCAAAATAAATTCAGTTGGTAGTAATCATTTAGTGACTACATTTGTTACCGACTGTTTAAAATACATCAATAAGAACATGAAAGGCAGTTGACTGGAAACAAAAATAAATACTTCGTCGAATCTGTATTATGTGTGTATGATACAGACACCAACATCCCAATCAATCGAGGATTCTGGCCAATATTGTGGTTCAATAAAACTGTTCAGTCTGTCGAAAAACTTTCGTAACGAATACCCACATTTGAAAGGTAAAAGTAAGTGTTATGAGACATCAAAAAGAAACGAAGTGAGAGTTCAATTTCTTGGTGAGTATCTTTTCCACACTTGCATTTCATTCGTTCGGACTTCCATTTTCCAATAAGATATAAATCGATTTGAAATCCCTGCAAGAATCTATGAAAAATTAAAAGATTAGCTGAAAAATAACAGTTATATTGAGCGAAGAAAAACTGAAATTACAATGAAATAAAATAGAAGCAACAATCAAAAATTCAACTAATAACACGAGCTGAAAATTAAAAATTATCAACAATAAATGAAAATTAAAAGATTCCAAACCGAGTTACTTCACGACGTTTCGGTTATTAGTATCCACAATCGTCTTCAGGTGAGACAGTTTCTGGACGAACGTTTTCCAATGCGTTGGATCGCCAGAAGGGGTCCAGTGGAGTGGCCAGCTAGATCACCTGATGGACTTCTTTCTGTGGGGACACCTGAAGGCATCTTCAATAATGTAAGGAACGCTTTCGAAAGTGGACTGTATTATTGTATCTAGATGGAGGTCTTTTTGAACACTTTATCTGTTGATTGTGTTGCCATTGAATAATGTATGCCATGCCATGCCATTGAATTGCCATTGATTTCTATATCAGAATGAGTATACCTCGTAAATCATATTGAAAACAGTGAAGTTTTGGGAACTCAGAATTGGCCATGCAGAGATCAATTTTTTGTGCAACCCATTCATTTGGAAATGAAAGCGAATACCTTTTCAAGCTTCTGTATATGTTACATCGACCGACTTATATGTCAATAACTGTCCATCATATCAAACATACAAGCCCCCCCTTCACACCACTGTAGTCAATAATTTCCTCGTATCATAATAATTCCTAATTGAATATATCGACGATCCTACTATTTTCTATTAGCCTCATCTGTTTAACAAGAGAATCAATTACGAAATTATGAGTTAATATTAGCATTCCTGCAATAGATATGTGAAAAAACTACGGAAGGTGTTTTTAGCCAATTTTCCAAATGGAAAATTTCAACGACTTGCTTATCTTTTTCATTATAGAGTCAAAACAAATTTAAAAATCTGGGTATATGCCTACAAGAATTTTGAATCATACAGAGTGTTTCTCAATGACATGCTCATATTGACTGAGGTTATGTTTGGATCCATTTTTTTGGTACCTTGGGAGCTGTCTGACATGTCCATTTAGTCCAAGTCTCTTCGTTGCATAATCTGCAGCTGAGGTCTCCGTTGTACAGCCCCATTTCATTCAGGTGTCCTCTAAGTGGACACTGACCGGTTAGTAACCCTGTAATTATTCTGAGCCGATCCCTACTATATTGAAGAAGTTCTTCGATTCTTTTCTCGGACGGTTCCCTAATGAAGGTTCTACTGTGTTTGTTGCCAGGTACTTTTGTCCAGTACTTTGTGTGCTTCTTATTGGTCCATGTCCTAATTCTGGTTTATGTTCTAGGCAAATTCGTGGAAACTTTCAGAATCCACATTTTCTAATTGGAATATGAACGACAGAGATGTTTTGTTTCAAACAGAAACACTAAATAGCGGGACTGATATGGGATTCAATAACACAGAAATGGGTAGGTTTAAATCTGACGATTTTTCTTAAATATTCTTGAATGATGCTTGATATCGGACTAAAGAGTTTTTTCCATTTTTATATCACTTGTAATGGACAAATCGGAGTGATTTGACTAATTTTTTTCATACCTGTCAATAGAAATTTCAACTTTAAATTAATAAAATGAAAATCCATAACGTACCCAACTGACACTTTATTGTGAACAATTACTCGAGTATCACGACAATTATATCACAACTTTCAGTTTTGACACAGTGATTCTATTAAATTTTTCTTAAGATTTCAACTACTACTATTTATATGAATGATACTTATGAGATTAATTCGGAAAACGTCATTTCGTTTTTGAAAAATGTGAGTTTCTTTGTTCAAACGTAAGGTTACTCTAAACTTGGATGTATTCAATCAAACCTAATAATTTTGGACGAGAATAACATTAGAATTTGAATGAACAATATAAACAATCAAACATGTTTTCCTTCAGATGACGCGTTTGCTTTCTAATTCTGGGGAACCCCCGAGAAAAAAAAACATTGAATGTTACACTGATATTGAGTTAAAACGTAGATTCTCATCTAATTTCATTCAAAAAAGGGTTTGGTTGTTTGAAATTCACTTACGTATTTGATGGATGCCTTGCAAAATTATATTCAAAATTCTTGTCTATAATTGACATCTATGTCATCTGTCACTGCTTCAGGGTAACCAACTTTTGAAACTAAAGTTTTTAATCTTTCATTGTGCTAAAATATAAATTACAATCGCATGATTAGAGAACTGAAAAGTTCAAAATTTGAACTCTATTGTGAGTGTATAAATTTTTATTAGACTTTTAAAACAGTATCTATTGCAGCTGGCTTGAAATTCACACTGCCGATATGGAGACAAGTTCTATGGTCTATTTTATACGCAGGAATAGTTTTAGTTGCTACAGGAGGAAACGTCATCGTTATTTGGATCATTTTAGCTCACAAGAAGATGAGAACAGTTACAAACTACTTTTTGTGTAAGTTTGAAAATAGTTGAACTAGGTGCTGATTTGTTTCACATTGAATCGTTCATTAATACATTTTAATGGCATTTCATAGTTTATAAACAGCATCATTCGTTTTATTATACAGTAGATTCTGTTTATACACCTGATGAGCTTATTTTATATTTACAAATTTTGTTATTACAAACACACGTTGTTTTTTTATTAAGTTAGGTTATAGTGACTTCTCTACTCTTATATGTCTATTTCTCCATTTCAGTGAATCTCTCCATAGCTGATACGATGGTTTCTATTTGCAATGTTACATTCAACTTTTGGTATATGCTTTATGCCCATTGGCCATTTGGATCTGTATATTGTAAAATAACACAATTTTTTGCTGCTCTGTCAATCTGTTCGTCGGTTTATTCTCTCATGTCTATATCAATCGACAGGTGAGTTGAGAGTCCAATGTATCAATAGAATAAAAAAAGTTAGGTTAGGCTTAGAATAATCGATCTAGACAGTTCTCAATCATAATGTACGTTATTTCGTTAGACATAAAATCAGATATCGAAAGAGTCAGAATCGTTGTTGTTGTTGATCGAAACACTTTATTTTGGGTCTCAATAAAATCGTTCTTTAACGTTTTTAACTCTATGAATGTTTAACGAATTAAAAATATAAATATGTATTCAATTGAAAATGAAACTTTCAAGGTACATAGCCATTTTGACACCGTTAAAACCTCGAATGGGAAAGACTGTCACTTTAATTGTAGCTCTCAGTACTTGGATATTGGGTACTTTAGTTGGTATGCCAGATATATTGTACTTTCAATCAAACCCTCTGAATGGTACAGATAGAATTGTTTGCTACATGAAATGGCCTGATGGAAAAGAAAATGCATCAAAACTGGAAATCATGTGAGTACCGAAAAAAATTAAGTCGTCAATTACTCCAGTTTCAGAGTTTATCTGAACCATTACATATTTCCAGCTACAACATATGTTTCACCGTCATAACATATATTATACCAATAGGAGCAATGATATTTACCTACACAAGAATAGGAGTAGAATTGTGGGGATCTCAATCAATTGGAGAAATAACGGAGAGACAAATGAAGAATATTGAGAGCAAAAGGAAGGTAGGTATACGAGTACTTGTGATGAATGAAAATTAGAAATAATATTGAAATCTTGAAGACAATACATAAATTGATACAGTATTCTAATTTCATAACCTTTCTCGAAGGTCTTTGATCTTTCAATTGTCATTAGTTCAAACTAATTAGATCGACGGTCTGGATAGCCCTGGCAGCTGAAGCCATTAACGGAGGATTAGAATGACGGCAACACTGCGCAACTGGTGTTTTCACATGTTCTGTGCTTCCCACAAAACGACGCGACTTTCTAATTTTTGAATTGGAGTGTTCTGAAGAGAATATTTTGAATGGTATACTAATTTCAATTTCTCTTTCAGGTGGTAAAGATGCTGATAACTATTGTCACGCTGTTTGCAGTCTGTTGGCTTCCCTATCATTTGTATTTCCTTGTCATATTTTATTTTCCCTCGTTGACTGGATTGCAATACATACAGGAAGTTTACCTCTTCATTTATTGGCTGGCTATGAGCAACTCTATGTATAATCCGATAATATATTGTTGGATGAATGCTCGGTTAGTGAAATAGCCTTTTACTAACTAGTTGCTCATATCCATGATCATTTCAGGTTTCGAACAGGATTCAAGAAAATTTTTACTTGCCTTCCTTTTGTCTCTCTCAGTCCAAGTCATACTTTCACCGACAGAACTCTCAGCAACTCTACAAAAAGAACCTTTTCCTATAACGGGACACCAGAGCGAAGAAGAATGCCACAATTAGGTGAGACTCACCTATACAATTTGGTTGTTTTTCATGTGATGAGATGAAAAATACTTATAAGTTTAATTTTCAATGCATCCAACATGAATCATCAGCTGATTTATTTTCTTTTACAGATTAATTGCTATGTTGAAGTGGCTGAAACCAAGTGGTGATTGATATTTTCAAACTTGGTGTTGAATATATTAAATATTTCACTTCATCATTAGTCAAGCAATGAAATTGTATGTTATTTCTATGTTGAATAAAGGTTGGATACTTTTTTCTTATTATTCAATCAGGGATTAGATTTATTTTTCACCTTATTAAGAGATGGGTGATAGTCACATATGAACAGAAAAATCCACAAAATATTTTACATAATATATATAAGATACATAACAAATATGTCTCAATTAAAAAAACATGATCTTAGTTTTTTTCAATTAGGTATGTCAGTACCGAAATCTTCATATTCACAAAAATACGAGTTAGGCTTGCTTGCAATACGACATAAAAAATGTTTTTGAGCAATGACATGTGAGGATGCTGAAATTTGGAAATGCACAACGTGCTCTTCACACAGAAATATAGAAATGTCAAAAGTGGACACTGGTTGGCGGAGGTACGCACTTCTGTATAAGGAAGGAAAGTATCTCAGGCCAATAAAACGTAGGTAACCTATCTGTCAACACTGACATAACCTCATATTTCATGAAATATTTCAATATTGATAACTAGCTTCTCTTTTAAACGTTAAACCCATATTTTTGGCTTCCACAATGGATGATATTCCCGAAGAGGTGTCAGAAAGTAATCCAAAACGAATTAAAACTTCTGAAGATCATGAAGCACCTACACCCAGTCATTGTAAGCACTTTGTTAAAAGAAAAAAACGGTATTGTAAAATGACCGTGAAATTTGGAGAAGAGTATTGTGGTGAACATCAAGAAATTTCTCCAGAACTCTCTAGTAATGAAAATAAAGACAAGAACCAAGTCAGAATTCCTTGTCCCTTGGATAATAAACAGTAAGTACTACAAGAGTGGCCTAGCTTTTCATATACTCTGCCAAACTATTTCGAAATGTACTTAAGTGCAAGACATGCAGGGATGATCTACTTTGTCCACAGCTGTAGTTGTAGACTAGGCGATTGTCTAATTACAGTGCTTTTTGAAAGTCATATTCCTTACAGCACTTGCTATGCTCGAAACTTGAAAAAGCACCTGAAAATTTGCAACGCAAGACCTAAAAAAGAAGAGCCATTCATAAATCGAGGAATAAATTCTGGTGTGGAACCAGAAGACACAGAAGATGTCCACAAACTTCTGTCGAGTTATCCAACCGAACAGATACAGAAGGTTATAGCCAAAGTAAACGAGGTGTACGAGAGTAAGTTGTCATGTTTTCTTATGAGGATGCAGGATGTTTGCTTTTACAGAGACGATTCAGAAACGGTTGAATGAAAAAATTTCCAACCACGAAGTAGTCGAAGAAGAAATGGCAAAACCAGAGCATGGAGATAAGTCAAAGAAGCATTTGACGCAGGTGTCTTCGATATTGGGGCTTTTGGACGAATACGATTTGATGAAACCTAAAACGTGTTTTATTGAATTCGGCGCTGGTAGAGGTACAGCATCTTGATATATAGGTTTATATTTTTTCAATGTATATACCATTTTGATTAATTTTTAGGCCAGCTGAGTTATTGGATAGCCAAGGCGTGTGCCTCTGACAAAGAATCTTCCATCCTTCTAGTTGAAAAGGCGTCACCAAAACATAAAAAAGACAATAAACTTGGTGAATCTGCAGAGAAGGTGTGCAGAATTCGTGCGGATATATCTGATCTTGTATTAGACAAATTAGATATAATAACCAAAACCTCCAATATCGTGGGTGTCACCAAACATTTGTGTGGACAAGCGACAGGTATAGGAAATAATAGCAATAATTTAATACCCTTTGGACTTGTTTTACTCAGTCAAACATACACATGAAACACTTCTCAAATTCACTTGGATCAGTATCTTAATCTGACTGACTTATTTACAAAAGGAGGATGTTTCCAAAACCAAATATTGAATGCCATTTTACAGTTTTTCTTCTAATAATTTCAGGGTGAAAAAGTTGATTATTTGTCAATCAGATCAAACTTGAACTAGACTTTTCACAAGTTTTTTTTGTTATCTTGATCTTCTGAAATCTTAACTAGGCTTTTAGGAAAGAAAAAAAGCAAAAAATCTAAAAAGAATTCATACTCAAATGATCCTAAGGCAGATAACACAAAATTTGTTATTCAGAATAGACTTTCCGATAGAAAAAATAAACCAATATTATTCTATTTGACAGAATTGGCCGATATTTGATGAAAATCCATAATCAACGTATTCGGGCATGTTTTAAAAAATTACTGTGACGTCACTGCCATTGAGATTTCCCCCCTTTGAAACTAACCATCAATTTCACTTCTTCTTCTTCTCTTTTTTATCGCCTTTGCTTCCCTTTGGCACAGTAGACCAGATCAACTCCACTTCAAAACAGTTTGCAGTGTCATACAAGAAGAAAATTAAATTATGCAATATAAATAAGTTTCTCGGTGTTGCCAAGTTGATGTCAAATGTTGTTAAGATCATGACCATTGGTTTTACTGGATTTTGGAAAAACTACTGACAAAAAAAATCGTAAAAAATGTAAAACAGGGTACTATTATACATGTAGTTTTCACCTATGCGGTTATTCCAATGTCAGTGTAAATATCTTTATTTTCAAGGAAACAATATTTCGAGTTAGATAAATTCGGTATAGTAGAACCATTATTAAATAAAGACACATGAAAAATTTTTTTCCCAATCAGAAATAATGGAAAGTAAATACAGATCGTTCTGAATTCATGTTACGAAATGAAAATGGGAAATTATCAAGAAAGACTGTTGAGAATCAGTAGAAAAAAATGTATTTTCCTTTCAGATCTAGCATTGAGGTGTATGGCTAATGCCGAGGAAAACCGTGAAAAAGTTGGTGGATGCGTAATGACGTTTTGTTGCCATCACAGATGCCGATGGATTCCTTATACAGGAAAAGAATTCTTCAAGGTAAACACCGGTCCAAAATGTGTATTGAATTTGAATTGTGCAAATGGTCATTTGTACTGTTGCACAAATGATTTATATTATTGAGGAGGAGCTTACTCACAAATCCTCAGAACTTTGTATAAGATCAGCATATAAATGATCAATTCACCAAAACTTGTCAAAAAAAGACTGGAGAGATTATCAAGATGCATGAAAGTAAGTTTCTCCATAAAAATGAAATGAGTTTTTCAACATTTGTTATGGTTTTGAACCGTACACATCTCTTTTGCTTACTGCTTGAAAAAGCACTTGAACTATTTTATCTCCTAACAGGTCTTCAGTTTGAATGATATTCTTTGTTCCAAAGACCATCAACACTAGTTACCTCCTTGATGTGAACACACATTATTAAAGGAATCCTAAAACGAGTAATCCATTTGAAAAATAGCTGCCCTGTTATGATTTCGTAACATTCAAATTTCAGCAAAACGACCTCAGCAGTGACGACTTTTATATCGTATGCGGAATGTCTAGCTGGGCAACATGCGGCAGTGGTCTAAGTAGGGAAAAACGAAAAGAGGACCTCTTAATACAGGACAAAGCGAACGAAAGGTAGCAGTCTTCAAACAATGGGTATGAATGATGAAACCGACGAAAAAAATTATATTTTTGTTTCAGAGACTTAGCTATTGGGCTCTCCAAGTCGGAGAAGGAAGAGGTTGGTAGGAGGAGCAAGAGTGTCATCAACTGGGGACGACTGACTTTTTTGGAGAACCGCGGCTTCCGCTGTCATTTGCATTACTACGTGGATAAAAGCATAACACCGGAAAATGCCTGTATTGTCGCTGTTAAGTAATATAAACCCGTTAAAACGAATAAATATATTTCTTCAAGTTGATCGCAGGTCCTTTCTCTTCCGCTCGGTTGAACGACAAAGATTTTGAAGCGGCTTCCCTGCTCTTTTCCAAGTTCTTGAAAGCTTTCGCTCCAATCTGTAGGATACTCGCATCTTCCACGTTGTAGTCTGATTCGCATCTGAAGAGCTGCACCACGTCGCGGGAGCCATTCGAAAACGGCAGCAACGTCGAGTACTTCGAACTGGACGGGTTCACGTGGAAGACGGTTCTCTTTTGGTTGTTCACGTCCCTGAAGTTCCTTGTCAACGGGTTTCCTTTTTCGTCGAATATGAATCGCAAAGAGTCGATCTGAAAACACGAACGAAAGGTTTGAATTCGGGGTACCACAAGGAATAATTCTAGACCAGTGTTTACCTGCTCGGCAGACACTGCAATGGGTATTCTGGAAATTAACCACAAGATGTAATGGACGCATTTTTCTGTGCTCACAGAGCCCCAGTACATGAAATAATCTGAAGTGAATTTTTTAACGAGATTTGTTATGATGGAGGGTTCGATTTTTTTTGAGGTGCCCGCTTTTGGAACGTCTAGCAACGCGTCGACTATCGTTTGAAAGGCTGGATTAGGAGCATCTTGGAGCTGCAAGCAGAAAAATTTCATAGAAAATATTCGGTTTCAAAAAATTCGCTGTCCGTTCAAAAAATAAGGTGATTTTCTTTGAAAAACTATTCATTCGTGATACTGCGACCTATTGGGTATTTTGCTAGTCAGTATACTTAGTGAAGAGGACATTTGTTACAAACGATAATACATTATTATGTTTTCAACGCTACTAACCTTGAATAAATAAACCAATGTCGCACATCCGTCCTGTTCTTTTAGAGCGGCCTCTTGCGTCAAATAGCAACTCTTAAATGTAACGACGTGCATCTCTGCTGGATAACTCGTCCCGTCTACAGAATGTTCGCTCCCTTCCATATCGTTTGCTCCCCAGTGGAGGTGCCAATTAGAAAAGACGTACTTTCCCAAAAACGGCCCGCTGGCCAGGTAGGGACGTTCTTGGCCCCATTTTGCGCTGAAAATTACTATCGAATTTTGTCAGTAATAATATCAAAGTTGGTAGAATTGTAGAAGTGAGCACCTGCAGTTGGTTCTTTGTGATGTGACGAGCTATTTTTGGAATAGTAATCTGCTAGTTTGGAGTTGGAATTATATTTGTACGGTATCGTGAATACTTCATATTCAAAAACACACTTCAATCTGAGATTTCCAATCAGAAATCTCAGATTGAAGTGTTTTTTGAACAACTTCTCTTCGTAAGGGCAGCGTATTCATAATAAGTTATATATTCTGAAATATCCTGACAAAGTTCAGCTTGCTTGAAATGGCTTTAACAAATACGCTTCAATTTTTAATGGTCGCCTTTCGGGAGGCCTTCGAATAAAAATAGCACAAATACGCATGTTAACATATTTTATGTAATTGTCGAATTTGTCGAATCCATCAACATCCGGCCTGGTTACTGGCGTAGGGGGCCGCCAGTCCTCTCATCTTTAACTTTATTATTCATTCAATCGTAACTTTATTTCTGAATACACTTTTTCAGTTTACATCTTTTGGACCACGACTACGACATCCACGTGCCATCTTTGAGGGCGGTCGTTATCGTTGCAATCAGAGAGGAAGTCCTAATTGAAAGTCCTATAGAATAAGTTAAGTTAACGTCTAGTCAAATCACAAAACCGCCAGTTATCTTTGATTTTGACATAAAATTCTTCTTCTCTCCGATTGATGTGCTTGGTGAGCATGAGCATGATTTACTTGAGGAATTTCATCAATTTTCAGGTGTTTTCATGTATTTTGCCTTTAGTAATTGCGTTCATAACATCAACATTCGAGCTGAGCTCAATTTCTCAACCGAGCTTAGAAAAGCTTGGCTTTGCATGATATACAGAGAATACGGGCACAGCAGAAAGCTAAAGACCTAGCTTTCTAGCGTTATACGGGCAAGAATGAACTCGAACAAATCGTACTGTTACAAATTAATTGTTGAAAATAATCAAGTAGGTACATGAAGTCTACAAAGAAGGTGTGTTCTAAATAGCGTAAAAGACAAAAAAGCTCCTAGAAACACTAGATCTACAACACCTGATGGGACTGAGCATCTATATCAGAAAGAAAATTAAGCTGTCAAAGACCTGACAGAAAAACGAAGAGTGCTCGACCCTAAAGAGGAACAGATCTGAGTCAATGATGAAACATAATTTAGATGGCGAAGAATACACTTTTATCATTGACCCAGGAAGTGACCTGGAATCGTAATATGCCTTTATCTTTCCTTTTTTAGAAATAAAAAACAGAAACAACCAGTTTTTATAAAAAACCTTATCACTTACTCGTTTGTCCTGTGTTCGTAATTTTGATTTTTTTCGGAGGGATCTCAAAGTTGATCCACTCGAGGGGAGGCAGTTCAATTTCTTTCGACCTGGTAAGACATATGTCGATGGGAGATTCGTAGCAACCTTCGGTTTGTGTTAATTTTCTTATCCAAAGTTGTTTTTGATAGTCGCTCATATCAGAATGGCTGTATTCTCTGGATCTTCGAGGCAGTTGAGTTTCTGAAAGGACGGGGTATATTTTCGACGATTTGTTACCAACGATAACTCACCTATTTCACTTGCTTGAATTTGGGAAGACATGATAAAATCGAAATTGTGTGATTTTAATGAAAGAGATGAATGTTTTCAAATATTTGACATTTCCGTTGTGATGGAATGATGTCATTCATGTTGACGTGCTATACATACGAGGTCCGTTCAAAAAATAAGGTAAATTTTCAAATTTCGCGGGTCACTTACATTCGATTAGCGATTTTTTCATGTTGGTACACAAGTCTTGAACGTATGTTCACAGTTTGGGCTGTTTAGCATGTTGACTTTGTTGGTGAGAGATATACAAGTTAGAGTGTTTTGTGTGTTTGACGACTTTCTGCCATCGAAAAAATGGATTAAAAATTTGCGGTTTATGTGACCGCATGTCGACCACAAAAATTTGGTTGGGTCAATTGAGAAGTGCAGTCAATGTAGCCACAATGTTGTGGTTGCCTCAACTGCAAATATGTGGGGGCTGTAGATAATCAATCATTCCTTAGAGCCGTAGGGGGACTGTGTGGCATGGTTAAGTTGTTAGAAACGCGTTTCTAAATGCACAAAATGGATGTTCCATTTACCGTAATTGGGGTACTGCAAAGTTGTCCCCAGTTCGTTAGCAGAAGCTGTGATGCTTCTGGAAATCCGAATTTGTCTCACTTCTTATGGAAACACCCCCGTATCTTCCGTAATATTCGAGGTGGAACGATGAAACTCTCAGGAAAAAAAATATTATTTTGAAGGAGACAAAAAAATAGAAATCAATGAATTAACATTTTTTGAAAAACATGAAAATTCCCTTAATTTTTCTGAACAAACCTCGTACTTTCCTCATATAGGTATAAAGTAATAATCAGGTTTAATAAAAAATACGATATTTTTTCATAACATTTATTGTTTGTATGGCAGGAGCATCCTCCGAAGTTACTGTAATAGAATTGATGAAATTAAAGCTTAGTTGAATCCGGATGTAGCGATGTACGATGAACGGAAATCAGTTACTTGTAATCTAGCAACAGATATGGTCCTTCAAAAAAGTATACTCGGAATTTTTCCCCGATTTGCATCCATTCCACACCGCCAATAACAAAGTAGGAGCGGACTTACGTCCATACCGGTTGGTGTGACTTTTAAAAATTATTTATTTTTTGTGAAAATGCGGCGTTTACGCCCTACCTTCACGAAAATTAAAATTTACAGGGTGAGTTGTAGTTGGTCCTAGTGAATCTCAGCTTATGTCGCTATTGGCTCGCGTCATTCTCATCCACTCGACGAATTCGTCTAGCATTACGGGCCCTGCAAAGAAGTGAGGTTAAGACACGCATGGTCGATGGCGAATGTTACTTACACGCTCCGTCTACATCGTAATTAGATAAATCGTTATATATCGTCCTCGAAAACTCCAAAATATTACACCACTGATCTTTGTTTATCACTTTGTATTTAGACCGATTGAGAAACTGACTAAACTGGGCGTGTAGGGGCCAGGTTCTTCCTAATAGAAGTTGAAGCATCGCCAACGCCGTTTCTATGTCCATACTTCTTTGGTCTTTATCCTAAAAAAAACAAAAAAAAAACAAATGTCAAGTACATATTTTTTTTCTGTTTTCCAGTTTATCAACCGTCGTATGTGGGTTTTTATGCCCGACGCTTCGTCTATGACTACAATAGACATTATCACAGGCGATGAGACGTGCTCTAGAATCTACATGCCGCAGTCGTAGACGAAATGTCAGATATGAAAACCTGCAGACTATGGCCAAATAATCCGTTAAACAGCTTTCCTTTTGTTTATTCAAGTGATACTTTGTTTTTCACTGGACAATTTACAAAAACGCAACACGTGTTTCGTCATACAATAGCCTTCCTCAGGCGTGTTCAGACTCACTTAATTCTCCATAATTAGTGCTTCATATAACAATTTCAATTATGTGTCCTTCTACGTACTTAATGACTCATGATTTTACCCGAGTTTAGGTAAAAACTAATTGAAAATTTAAACACATGAAAGAAAATTTTTGCAACTCATTAAATTAATAGTTGAAAGAGTAACTGCCAACATTAGAAAACAGATTCAGAAGAGAAGAATTCAATTTGGTAATTGAATAAATTTTCAGAATTCCTAAATCTAATAATTTCTAAGCACTCCAAAAGATCGAGTTTCAAACCTTCTTTTCCAAATGTGATACTTCATAGTTCCTCTGGCAAAAAATGTTACGCAAATGTGGAATAAGTCTTTTGATTGAATAAGCTTCAACTATGTTCTTTAATTCTTTGGGATAAATATCTCCCCGTCTGGCTAATATAAAGTTTTGGGCAACAACCACAACTCAACTTAAACAGCGCATTTCTTTTATGCCCCCCCCCTTTTAATTTTTTGAACAATTGAACTATAATTTATATTTTGCCTTAATTGTTGATTTATAAAGATAGTTTTCCTTTTTTAAAGTAGAATATCTAGGTACGTATAAACTATTTCAACTTGATATGTGCTGTTGCCAATATATGAATTAGAAACAAATCCCTTTAAAAATTAAAACCCAATATTTGAAACATCAATTTGCATACTTTTCGAAGTGAATTTGAAAAACTCATGAATTAAACTCAACTTTGTTTTTGTTCAAACTTTCATTTGCTGTAATAACCCAAATTGAGGAACATTCCCCATTATGCCTGCCTGGACATGATGATGTCATACCTTAACGAAAGATATCCAATTATTGATCTAGGAAATAGCAAAAGTGAAAAAAGAAAAATATCAAGAGGAGTGCCACAAGGGTCAATATTGGGGCCACTTCTGTTTCTAATCTATATCAACGACCTGCCTCACATGATGAACTCGTCAGACATAGAAACTGTATTGTATGCAGATGATGCAACTTTGGACAGAAAAATATGTAAAATAGATGATCCTCATATGACCCATACTGATATATTAGAGAAAGCTCGATCATGGTTCACACCAAATGAGTTGATTCTCAATGATCGAAAAACAGAAACTCAAATTTTTGAACCAATTTGCTTAAATCGAGATGACAAAAATTCTACCGAATTTTTGGGAGTACAAATAGATTCCAACCTGAAATGGATAGATCATATAAATAGAATGCGTAGTAAACTTAGCAAGACAGTTTTTGCTATTAGAATAATTAAAAAAATAGTAAATCAAAGTGCGGAACTTGCAACTGTTTCAGTCAGTCCTTAGGAATGGTATAATCAATTAGAATAATGCAACAGGTACATCATAAAAGAATATTTGTCATTCAAAAATCTGTAGTAAGAAGGATGATTTCTGCCAATGGGAAATATTCTTCAATTTGGGTTATTACAGCAAATGCAAGTTTGAACAAAATAAAGTTGATTTTAATTCACGAGTTTTTCAAATTCACTTCGAAAAGTATTCAAATTCATGTTTCAAATGTTGGGTTTTAATTTTTAAAGGGATTTGTTTCTAATTCACATATTGGCAACAGCACCTATATCAAGTTGAAATAGTTTATACGTACCTAGATATTTTACTTTAAAAAAGGAAAATCATCTTTATAAATCAACAATTAAGGCAAAATATAAATTATAGTTCAATACCACCTCCACGAGCCACATAAACAACAGTTGTTTTGTTATTTATTTATATAGAGGAAGATAGGTTAGGTGCACAAAACGTCATATGTCACAGAATGTCTCGGAACTCGGAACATAAGTAAACAGAACATAAGTAAACAGATTCATTGTCCTTTATTAGCTATAACCGATGTTGCCAAATGGTGAAATAGAAACGAATCCCTTTAAATGTTGAATGCATTATTTCTTTCCTCTTTTTTAAGTATTTAAATAATTTTTTACAGAAAAAGCTTGAAATGATAAGTTTAAAATGCATTGTTTTAGAGCTCTTTTATGAAAACTACTTAATTTTCGTCAGTAGTAACATTCCCCATTATGATGAGAAGAACTTAAAATAATGACCCTATACTCAGTTATTGTCTATGAAAATCTGCTTCTTGTTCAACAAAACTTGATGAATAAAGTTGCTCACAAGGATATACACCAACATGATACAAGAAATAAATCAAACCTTGTTTCTACAGCTGATAGGTTGAAAATAACAGATAATATACGAATTTAGCTATACAATGTCTTATCTGTCGAATTTCGCAACTTGCCATTTAGAAGATCCAAAAACTTATTGAAGAAAATATCAACCAAACATTCTTTATATGAAATTGATCAATTTTTCGACGTTATCCAAGAAGAAACATACACTTTTGTGGTCGTCTCCTGAACTTTTACTCAACTTGAATATATATAATATGTTAGCTATGTGATTTATAATTTGTAAAAGCTCATGGCTTTACATTTCAGTCAATTTTTATAAGATTGGAATTTTATCTTGTTAACTTGTTTTTTTTTGTAAATCTAATTCATCTAGAAGCATTTTTTAAAAACTATATTGACGAATCTTATCCTCTCAAACCTATTTTAGAAATTGTACTGGCGTGTCTAAAAACTGTGTGTTGCTTGAGACTAATAAATTATTACTATTATTATGTGAGCTATTTTCCTTCATATTGTTTCAAATGTCTCCAAGATGAACTTTCAACTAGAATGAGACCAAGAAATCTCGCACTAGGATAGTGATGATCACTACTACACGACTGTAACTTACCCTAGCAAAATCGTACGCATATCTATAAATAGCTTTGAAAACGGTTTGATCGTTCAAATAACACTTCAGGCTTTCTAAACGGCATTGCAATTTTTGAACGGAATCGCAGTGCAGCTCTTGGAGTCCCTTGAGCCATTCCTCTTTTGTGAAATAACCCATCCGCCGGGCTTGCATTTTATACGCTAATACTAACATGNACCGAGAGAGAGAGAGAGAGAGAGAGAGAGAAGAGAGGGAGAGGGAGAGGGAGAGAGGGAGAGGGGGAAAGGGAGAGAGGGAGATGGAGAGAGAGAGAGAGAGGGGGGGAAATGTGAAGTCCTAAGAATTTGGAGGACAATTTCATCTCGAGAATGTTGTTATTCAAACTAAGAGTTGGGAGTTCACATTTGAAGGTGAGGTGGGGAAATGGGTTTTATCAAAGTTTGAAGAAAGCTTATTTGATTCGCACCAGCTCTTAATTTTTTCCATGTCCACAGTGGCATCTTCAGCTAGTTTTGTAGGATCTTTTTCCTGCCACAGCAACGTTGTGGCGTCTGCAAATAATGTGATGCTAGCAGTTAGATCCAGTTGTGTTATATCATTAATATACAATAGAAACAAGATGGGTCCTAGGATGGAACCTTGAGGGACACCTGCTTTGATTTCTCCTACATTTGAGTCGGTTGAGAGTCTTACAATTTGCTTTCGATGCAATAAGTACGATTCAAACCATCTAATGCTTCTGTGCTCAAAACCATAATGTTTCAGCTTCCGCAGTAAGATTCTGTGATCAACGAGGTCAAATGTCTTGGAAATGTTACAGAATACAGCTGCCGAATAGGCATCAGAATTTGTATCTCTGTAAATCTTATGCAGGAAGTTGAAAATTGCATCACTTGTATACAGAGAAAGTAAATTAGCCGCCTTCTCATGATTTTTTTCAATAATTTTGGATAAGGTCGGAACAAGTGATATAGATCTGTAGTTTATTGGATCATCCCTGGCACCACCGCCATTTTGTAGTAGGTGAAGATATTGACCTCATATTCTAGGGTTCCATTTAATTTTTTTCCCATATGGCGCCTAGTCGCCATCTTGACAATTTCATGTGTCAATTTCACTTCAAAATAAAGTATTCATGCATTAATTCCAATATCACAAATTGCAATTTTTTGAGTTGACCTGTTCAAAAAATAAAAGGAGGGGGACATTAAAGAAATGCACTGTATAATGGATAACTCATTACAAGGGATACTCCTAGGAAAGACTAACATTATTAATTTATTTACGTGAATGTTAATCTCACCCCTAAAACTTATGAATCATTCTAAAAGTCATAAAAACAATAAAATCCACTGACCTTGAATATAAATACATTTTTGAACATGTACCACAATTATCAAACACGACTTGCTAAATGTAAACAGGTCTATCATCTATCACTACCAAATTATTGTACAAAAGAAAACAATAAACAATCCCAATGAAAATATCATACAAATACCACAGAAAGACGTGCTTCAAAGTTCTTCTCAACGAATTATACAGAATGGATTTGTTGATAATGTAATCAGAAGGTTTTTGAGCCTTATCTTGAAGATATATTTTAAATAACAGTATTCAACGATGAAATGCCAAAGAAACTTTCAACAAAACTTGTTGTTGAACAAATCAAATCAAGTCAAAATATCTTTAAACTCTATTCATTGCCTCAATTATATGAAAAATCAGTAGCCAACAGAATAGAATCAAATCAAAATCAGGAAATCGACAACTTCCCATATGAATTTGCCTAGAAACAAGATGGAAAATTGTAATTCAAGGATGACAAGCTTTCAAGACTGGCAAAAAATATATTGGGCAGACTAAGCACGTCATTAGAACTCGTTTCAAACAACACGCAACACAAATCCAAGGACGATCAAAAACTGATTTTCATTCACAATAAAAATATTCTACTCAACATAAAAACATACTCTACTGAAATGATTCCTTGAGAAAACAATTAGTAAAGGAGAACTGGGAGGTTTTACATACAGAGCCAATCACTTTTTTGGTCGTAATAGGCGAAGAAAAAATTAGTTTCTTGACAAAACTATTAGTTGTTTTGGCTGGACACATCTTCATAGAGTTTGACTTTGATTTCACTTCTTTTACAACAATAGGGAAGAAAGCTAAAAGGTTCTTTCTTATCACAAGAACCCTTTTCAATATATTCCAACTAACCTAAAGAAAAATTACCTGTTCTGGCTTCGTACTCTCTTTGAACTATACCTATCCTCATCGTTTGAACTCATTTCTGCTGACCTACGTTTGCTACGAGGCATTGCAAACTTCACAGCCTATGTTCTTCTTTCGGGATATCAGGCTAAAAGCGAAAAAGAATTATCATGATCATATACTTTTTTCAAGGGTCAATTTGATGGATGGAAGTAAGGTTATGTCAAAGTTGAAATGTTGGGCACGCGACCAAAGTATGTCCCTTCATCGGTGTAAAATAATACGTTCTATATATCGATGAATATACTGAACGATGAAAAAAATAAAAAACTTACCGTAACCACGGTCAAATATTGGTATTAATTATAACCCCTCCCCAACATGGATATTATGCACGAAATTAGGGAAATGAATTCAATACAAAAGATGAGGTCTAGCACTTTTGAAAAGGTCGAAGGATTAACAATGCTGCATTAGGTAGAAGATAAATTATATTACATTTATTTTAAATTTTTCATCAGCTGTATGATAAACGCTGCCTGCGGATCCGTTGGTTTAGTACTTTTTTGTAATCAAGTCTACAGTAAAGAGGAAGGGGCAAAAACAGAGCAAAACACACAACACTTTGACGTTTGTGACGATGACAACGAGCACTTGACACTATGACAGCTACGAGATTACTGCAAGATGTTTGTCGCTAGCGCCATATCCTTGTCCAAATGAACTTTTTTTTGAAATGCGTTTCGCTGTGGTTCTGCGAAGGATAAATTAAAAACGAGATATTGCTGATCATCACATTCATACTTGTAACAACGTAAGAAGGCTATAACCTTCTTGGTCCGAACGAACTTTTTTAAAACGTAGTTTAAATTGATTAAAGGATTGTCATTTCGACAGAACTCTGGAAATTACTTATGTGGTAACTCCTAAAGTGACTTTGTCGCCAAAATACAATATTTACTTATCCAAGAGCAAACAAAGGAAAGTTTTATTGATAGTATCGTGACTTCTCCCAAAGAAAGAAAGGATTACGTTTCATCAGATTTAAAGCTCAAACCACATAGGTTTCGTTGAAAATAATATCAGATCATTCAGCATTGTTTTCTTCTGATGATAGTCTATTTATTCTTGTACGAAATTCGACCTATAGGTGATTCGGTCTAAGTTAGACATATCAATTATTTGAAAGAAGAGAATATTACGTCCGTCTTGCCTTGAAATACTAGTAAGGATAACGATGCTGTTGAAAATTTGGAATTTATAAGAGAATGTATAAAAATCTGTTTTTTTATTATATTTCTGTGTATTGGAGAGTTCAGTAATCGCGAAGTTACTTTATATGAGCTGTCCTAAACGTTGGAATATCGAGATATACATTCTGAAGTGTGGATAGATATCTCATCAGAAAAAATAAAAAGGCTTTTTGATTTATTTAATCGATATAAAATATCACATTCTGTGACCTTATTACTAATGTTCTGTGTAAGTGGGTATCGACGAGGAAAACGAAAATTGCCGACTAATGTCGAACGGACCAGCTGTCTAGGAAAGAAACGACTAATGAGAAACAGGAAATGGTAGTGTCGAGAGAAAAAGAGAGTTGCTGTAATTAAATTCCGGCAAATTTAATAACTCGATTTATAGCCCTAATCATTTTCATGGAAAAGAAATCACAAAAGATCATCCAAGGGGCTTCTTTTAGCACTCAAAATGGACATTTACTGGTTTCTTCCGGGATACAATCCCTGGATACTCTTTTAGGTGAGAATTTTTAGGTTATACTTTGGTTTCTTTGTTCTTTTAATTCCGCTCATTTAACAACATGGAATAAAATAAGTTCGATTATTGTTCTGATTGAATAGAATAGGACGATGGATTGATTTTTCAAGTATGAGTTCGCTTTTGAATCGTTAGAAATCAACAAACCCATTAGTACAGGTCAGTTATATTTACTTACTTTTTTCTTCTAGGAGGAGGTATTCCAGTTGGGACGGTGGTTTTAATTGGTAAGTCATGTTGCTATATTTAGTTCCATATCGATTTTTTTCGGTTAGATGCCTAGCTAAGTTTTATCTACTACGAGAAATGAATAGTAAAGACATTTCTCTTCATACACACCAGAGCTTACAAAAATTCTAATTTCGAGACTCATTCGTAAATATAATCAGTTGCCATTGTCTGTTCGAAGTGTAAGAACAAAACAGTGCTTTTATAGTGCTACTGCAAATTGATTCTTCATTCTTACAGACTTTTACATCTGCTTCAATTTTAAAGTCATTGATAAGTCACAATAATTCTCTATTTAAGATATTGCCCCTTTATTGGGGTTTAAAATAGCTTTAGATATTGATTTCAGTAGAATGAATTAGTTTAGAGATATTTTTCAATCTACAATCTGTTTCTGATCCTGAATTATTGAGTCTGCAGGAAGAAAACATCATCGGACAACGTGAAACATCCAGAATTTTCCTCTTTGAATATTTAAATTGTCAGTGTTATATAAATGTAGCCAGAAAAGCTACCAGGTCTCAACAGCTCTTTGACCTTTCAAATTCCCTTTTTTATCAATATGAGATTGCAATGTGTTGCTTGAATAGCTTTGGCTGTTTATCTATCTTCAGAAATTCGTTCAACAAAAATATCCAAGTGTCCATTACTTCTATTCATCTTAACTTTCTTCTCCATCTAATTTCTTCTTCTTTGTCTATTATACAAGCGAATTCATTTAAAATAATGAAGACAAAACGTCATTGTCGGCTAGATCAGGAATTTTGGTCCAAAACTTTATATTGGCAGAACGGGTAGAACTTTTTCCCAAAGAATGAAAGAACACAGGAGTAGTTTCCTGAACGTGAAGACAAATTCCTCATTTGCAAACCATATTTTGACAGAGGGACACGACTTTAAACAAGACTATGAAGTATTACATTTCGATGAGAAAAGTGTGAGACCCAATCTTTTGGAGTTCTTGGAATGCTGATAATTTACTGAATGACCAGAGATAATCCAGTTCTCCACCTTCTCTGGATCTGTTTTCTAATGTGGAAATGGATATTTAGTTTATTACATGTTATTTAACGAATTTGTTACATTTTTTTGATATATTTGAATTTTTAATTAGTTTTTGTGAACTGTCCAGTATTGATTTTGACTAATTCTACACTGAGATTAGCAGTCACTGTCGAGATCACTTGTTTCTTTGTCACTAGTTTTACTTTTGCAGATTAATTTCTACTAAAAATCATCCCTTCTGCTCTGAATTGCCAATATTAAAAAATTGTGCTATACCACCCTTACAGAATCAAAATATATGGCTATTTATAAAGGTGTGACTGTTTGTGACAAGTTCTGACTTGACCAAACCTGCAGAGTTTCGATTCATTCCTGTATACTTTTGTAATGAGTCATCTTTCAACTTGAGGTCATCGAGAAAATGTTGACAAATACTTTATTTGCAGTGGTTTCTGTGAAACGAACACGTTTCATTATCAAGTTGCGGATTGCATCATCTTTCGATGACAAACTGATTACTGAGAAATGGTTCAGTTTTCCAAAAATCAATTCCTTTCCTATTATTTTGTTCAATTTATTTACGCAATTGATTGTTGAGTGAATATTGTAATGTGCTGCTTCTAAATGAATTTTTAATCATCCTTTGGGTGTATTTTGATTGAAAAACCACTTCCTGTACTGACTGCATCGAATTCAAAGTTATCATTTGCAATTTGCTTGGAGGCGAGTCACCTTATACGTCATTCTGCACGTTGGATTCATTGATTTAAAATATTGCAAAGTCAGGGTAATATTATACTCGTACTGTTATCATTTCAATAACCTTGAAACTTATGAGTCAGACCATGAGTACCGTATTTTGCTAAATATATTTCAATATAATAATTGGGTTTTGTTATCTTGTTACAGTTTAATTAGTGTAATCAAGATTCCTATCTTTTATCACTGGGATTTCACTGAATTACAATTTGTGAAAGTCCCATTTAGTCTGTCCTGATTTTATGGGGTTCCTGAATTAACATCATCAGTCTTGGAAACAGGAAAAAATCTCAGGGGTTCAAATCTGGTGATTACGGTGGCTGAGGCATGATTACGCATGATACCGGACGTTTTCTTCGTATTGCTTGTCGTAAGCCACGCATAACTCCAAAATAATATTCCCTATTGACCGTTTGATCATGTGGCACAAACTCCTGATGTACTATACCAGGGTAACGGAAGAAAATAGTGAGCAAAATTTTGACATTTGATAGAATTTGGTGTGCTTTTCTTGGTCTTGGCACTCCTGGGCTTTTCCATAGGGACAATTAGACTTTGGTTTCGATGTTATAAGCATATACCCATGATTCAATCAATCAAATATGCTTTAGTGTCAGAAAAAACAGTTCTTATCGACTGTTGAAATGCTAAAAATGATAAAATTGTACGTTTACAGACTATATAATAATAAAATGTGTGTAAGTAAAATGTATAAGTAAAGTAAAGTGTATAAGTAAAATGAATGAATGAATAAGTAGGTACAGCCACATAATAAGGAGACAAGCGTATTTCAATGTCAACAAAAAGGTTCACTCCTAAAAAATTCCTCCATCGTAGAATGGATGAGTGAAAAGCAGTTCTTCAACATGATTTTAAAACAATCCTCTTGATTCAATCTCCCTCAAGCTCAGTGGTGACCAATTATAATTTTTCAGTCCATTATAATTGAGAGATTCCTTAACAAGATTGTTTTTTGGTAGAGGTAATCTCAATTTTTGCCATCATCACGTGTTATGGTGTAAGGGTACTGTAATATATTTGTTATGATTCTTGTGTATTGAGCTGGTGGTTTCTAAAATGAAGATTGAAGTAACTGTGGAGTCCCTGCAAGAATCACGTGTTTTTACTTCACAGAGAGCCCTCATAGCCCTTTTTTGTACAACTTACACTTCATGAAGGAGTTGTATTCTTTTTATCAGACCCCGTTTTTTCACCATTGATACTCGTCATTGAGGTCGTTGATGATTCAAACGAAAACAAAATGACTCAGTTATTTTGGACGTTATCAAAACATTTGATATTGTCGACCAAACTGATGAAATAGGAAAAAGCCAACGGAGCAATAAATAGGTGATTCAAAATGTTTTCATTTCGCTTATCAACACTAAATCCATTAAGAATTATGTGGTGACTGCTTCTGTTTGATGATTACGTTCATAGTTTGTGTGAATAATATTGAATTAATGATATAGCTTCAACGAAATCATAGAAGTGATTGGTATGAAATTCTACTGTATACAAGTAACAATTTGCTAGATTGAATTTAAAACCTTTCTAATCCGAATGGAATATGTCATGATTGTGATTGAACTTCTGCCCTACTGCCAGAAATGTGGAATTGGGCTTCACATTCAAGAAATTAGTACTATGTTCTTTCATTCTCTGGGAAAATGTTCTACCAGTTTGGCCAACATAAGTTTTGGGCATGAGCCTGATCAGACTAATAATTTTACTTCGAGTTATTGATGACTCAGTTGGATGGCAAATATGTATGAAACTCGTAGGTCATCTTTTCGATATAAAAAGAGTTTCCAAATTTCAAAAAGTTGGTCTTGTATCTGCAAAATGAAGTTGTGGTGTGTGTACTGTTTGTGTGTACATAGAATGAAATATTTTGTTCTAGTTTGTTTCTAACCCCGACTACTGTTGAATATATTCATGTTCATCTATTTGAATATGGGGAAACCGAATCTAATAAATAAAGATGTACCTATTTGAATGAGTCACGACAAACTGCTACACTTTCGTTTAGTGATTATTCTAGAATTCGTGAATCTTAATGTATTCATTTGTTTTCCAGAGGAAGACTTCCACGGATCGTACTCAAAAATCATACTGAAATATTTTCTTGCCGAGGGTATCGTCTCTAAGCACTCTACTTTGATAGCTAGTCAAGATGTGAATCCTTCCAATATTGTGAGTACATTGCGCTGAATACTTTTGTTGCTCACTTGGAAGAACAGTTCAATTTTTTTAACAATTACAGTCCGGTCGAATAATTTTGTTTTGATTCAAATAGCATTATCTTTTGTGCACTTGTACTATTCGATATATGAATATGAAATCTAAATGTTTCATACCTTCTCAATGTCAAACAAAAAATGTTAATGCTCACATTGGTTTTTAGTAATACAAATTCTGATGTTTATACTCAATGTTCAATACAATAAAAAATTAAGTAAGTCCTTCATTTAATTTGTCAAATAAGAACTACCATGAAGAAACAGAATATCGAATTTAGAACCACGTTTGAAATTTCAAGCTAACTTGGTCTAACCTCGGTTCAAAACTCAACATTCAATCCCAATTTTCAACATAAAATTTCAATTGAGACATTACATTCACCATTTCATTTAACATTACAGATAACATATAATATCAATTTATTTTCAACATTACACTTCAGTTTTCAACATAAAATTTCAATTTCGACATCAAATTCTGATTTTAAACATTACATTTCAATTTTCATCAATGATTTTCAACATTGAGTTTCAGTTTTCAACATTAAGTTCCAGTTTTCAACATTAAATTTCAGTTTTCAACATTAACTTTCAGTTTTCAACATAACATTTCAGTTTTCAACATTGTTTTCAATATTAAATTTCAATTTTCAACAATAAATTTCAGTTTTCAACATTAAATTTCCGTTTTCAACATCAAATATAAGTTTTCAACATTAAATATAAGTTTTCAAAATTAAATATAAGTTTTCAACATTAAATATAAGTTTTCAACATTAAATATAAGTTTTCAACATTAAATATAAATAATTTTAATGTTCAATATTTAATTTTAATAAGTGTACGTTTTCAACACTAAATTTCAGTTTTCAACATTGAGTTTTAGTTTTCAACATTGAATTTTAGTTTTCAATATCAAGTTTTCAACATTAAATTTCAGTTGTCAACATTTAATTTCAGTGTTCAACATTTAGTTCCAGCTTTCAACATTGAGTGTCAGTTTTCAACATTACATTTCAGTTTCCATCATTAAATTTCAGTTCTCAACATTGGGTTTCAGTTTTCCACATTGAATTTCAGTTTTCAACTTCAAATTTTGATTTCCAACATTGAATTTCGACATTAAATTCCAATGTTAAACATTAAATTTGAATTTTCAACAATTAATTTCAGTTTTCAACATTGAGTTTTAGCTTTCAATGTGATATTTGAGCTTTCAATGTGATATTTGAGCTTTCAACATCAAGTTTCAGTTTTTAACAATCAATTTCAATTTTCAACATTGCGTTTCAGTTTTCAACGTTGAATTTCAGTTTTCAACATTGTTTTCAATATTAAATTTCAATTTTCAACATTTAATTTAATGTTCAACATTTAATTTTTATAAGTGTACGTTTTCAACATTAAATTTCAGTGTTCAACATTCAGTTTTATCTTTCAACATTGAGTGTCAGTTTTCAACATTACATTTCAGTTTCCATCATCAAATTTCAGTTCTCAACAGTGGGTTTCAGTTTTCCACATTGAATTTCAGTTTCCAACATTGAATTTCCGTTTTCAACATTAAATTTCGGTTTTCAACTTCAAATTTAGATTTCCAACATTGAATTTCGACATTAAATTCCAATTTCAAACATTGAATTTTGACATAGACTTGCAATTTAAACATTGATTTTCAATTTTCAACGTTAAATTTCAGTTTTAAATATTAAATTGAAATTTCTAACATTGAAGTTCAAAATTAAATGTCAATTTTCAACAATAAATTTAAATTTTCAACATTAACTTTCAGTTGTCAACAATTAATTTCAATTTTTCACAGTAAATTTCAACATGTATTCTCTGTCAGCCAACATAACCTGGTCTTTCTACAAAACTTGAAATTTTTAGTTGAAAATCATAAAGTAAATTAACCTAACCGACTCGTAAAACTCAGGGAGGTTATTTGAAAGTTGCAATGACAAATTTCAGAACAGAATTTCAACTTTCAACATGAAGTTCGAAATTTTTATCAGAATTAAGAAGTAACAAAACACCAAGTTGAGACCTGTGGTACTTATCATTAAGATTGGAGTCCTGTCAATAATAGCTGCTACCTATTCAAAGTGAAATATGTCATTCTTTATAATTTGTGAATATTTCATTTTCAGGTACCAAAACATACTCCAACCCCGCCTACAATGACTTGCTGAAGTCGATAAAAAACAAAATCAAGGAGGGTAAATTTTTCCTGAAAGATAGCCCCGAAAAGAGGTCCATCTTACGAATAGGAGTACACTCGCTAGGGTCTCCGATGTGGCTTCCGCACCGGAAGTCTCTGCATTCGATAGAAAGCACCCGCGACCTGGACATGTTCATATTCTGCCTCAGGGCGCTAGTGCGCTCCGCTTACTCCGTGGCTGTCATAACCATTCCAACGCATTTGTATCATGAAGTGAGTCGATTCGCGTTTTCCTCGATAGTTGGCAGAACCCGCTCATCAAATTTTTCTTCTTTCAGATATCTTTGGACAGATGCATCCACTCTAGTGATATAGCGATGAGGCTCCAAGCCTTCAGTGGGACCGAGTTGGAGCACAATCAAAGTTTGTCGGAGTATCACGGTTTCTTTTATCTGACCAAATTGGCGGCCATCAATTCGTTATCGTCCAAACATCCGGGTTCAGTCGAATACGCTTTCAAACTGAGGAGGAAAAGATTCTCGATAGATATGCTGCATCTGCCTCCAGGTTAGTTTTGAAAACCTTAAGATTATATCGGGGGCCCTCAACAGTCCATGTTTTTTTGATAATGCTGACCCTGACCAGTTACTTTATGAAAATCAATAACAATTATTCATGATGATAATGTTACAATGGCATTTTATGCCAGAACCTGACAAAACAAGTAAATTTTGAAAAAATCGTTGAAAAAATACAATATTACTTTTAGGAAAACAGGTAATTAGCATCATTTAGAGTTTTTGATTTCATTTGGGAGCTCTAAGTTTATCACAGGATTCAACCATATGCCGGTGTGTTATACCTATCTCGAGAGCAATTTTATGACGAAAGCTAACAAAAGAGGTAAATTTTGAAAAACAATTTCAACAGAGTAAATATTACAGGTAATTTATAAATATGTTAATTTTTGGCATTTTATGCCAAAGTCAAAACAGGTAAATATTTGAAAACTGATTAAAATACAGTATTTCTTATAGTAAAACAGATAATTTATTTATAAGTTGCTGATTGACATTTTATGACAAAACCTGACAAAACAGGTAACTTTTGAAAAAGCAATTACAGTACAATATATTATAAATATGTTAATTATTGACATTTTATGACTAAACCTAACAAAAGAGGTAAATTTAGAAAAAAAATTTCAATAGCATAAATATCACAGGTAGTTTATAAATATGTTGATTGATTTTATGACAAAACAGGTTAATTTTAAAACACCAATTACGAAATTACAGGAAAACATGTTATTTATAGGATGCCATTTATTGACATTTTACTCAAAACTGAAATAAACGACTAATTCTGACAAAACAGGAAAAAACAGGTTAATTTTAAAACACCAGTTACGAAATTACAGGAAAACAGGTTATTTATAGCATACCAATTATTGACATTTCAATTCAAAACTGAGATCAAATCTTACTCTTTAGAAAACAGGTAATTCATGAATATGTTAATTATTGACATTTTATGCTAAAGCCTCACAAAATCGCCTTTTATGATATTGTATATTTCTGTCTTTTGATATTAGAATTTGTTGAATTATGTTCAGCAGTTCTGTTATTGAAGATTTGTTTTTGCTGCAGATATTCAAGACGATGGAGACGGTAGGAGAGAAAACGTTCCTTTCTTGGGGTGTGGTGGTAATACCAAAAAGAGTTTATTGGATTTCTAACTACTTACGTACCTTGAATCAACCTTATCATCATAACTTATTTATTGAAGAGTATTATATTTTGAAAAAATTGACAAATTACACGTTTTTTTTACTTCGCAGTGTTTTATTCAGAAAATCATAAGGTGAACTATACAAGTAGCTTCCTCAGGCGTATGAAGTATACAGTAGCTTCCTCCGGCGTGGTCATACTAGCAGTATGAACACGTCTGAGGAAGCTATTGTATAGCCAAATACGCAGTGAAAACCTCACAATTACATGATCAATACAATAGCTTCCTTGGCGTGTTCATAAAAGTAGTATGAACTAACTGTACAATAGCTTTCTCATGCTCATGAACACGTCTAAGGAAGCTATTGTATAGCCAAACACGTGTTTTTGTAAACTGTCCAGTGGAAATATCACAATAAAGTGAAATATGCAGTAGCTTCCTTGGGCGTGTTTATACTGGCAGAATGAACTATACAGTAGCTTCCTCAGGCGTGTTTATACTGCCTGTATGGGACCGACTGAGGCAGCTAATGCATAGCGAAACACATAGTGTGGCTTTTTGAATTGTAAATTGAAAATCCCACAATGACATGAACAATACAGTAGCTCATAAAAGCAGTTTGAACTAACTATACAATAGCTTTCTCAGGCGTATGATCACGCATAAGAAGGCTGTTTTATAGCCAAACAAGCTTTGTGTTTTTGTAAACTGTCCAGTGGAAATATTACAATAAAGTGAAATATACGGTAGCTTTCGTGGGCGTGTTCATACTGGCAGAATGAACTATACAGTAGCTCCCTCAGGCGTGTTTATACTGCCTGTATAATCACGCCTGAGGAAGCTAATGCATAGCGAAACACGTAGTGTGGCTTTTTAAACTGTAAATTGAAAATCCCACATTGACATGAACAATGCAATAGCTTCCTCAGGCGTGTTCATGTAAGTAGTTTGAACCAACTATACAATAGCTTTCTCAGGCGTACGGGAACGCCTAAGAAAGCTATTTTATAGCCAAACAAGTGTTTCGTTTTTGTAAACTGATCATACGGATTGTGGAAAGGAAACAGGGTGAAAATATAAAATAAAATCATCGAGCACTGAATGCTTTATTGAAAATAGAAATATTTACAACAAAATCATTACCTAAGAATGACAATTCTAATAGAATCAATATAGCCTTATTTTTACTATAAAGACTCGGATTTAAGAACCGCACAGATCATTTTATAATTCAAAATATATAGAAAAGCAATTCCGAAAACATGTAAACAGTTCAATGTGTTAAGGACAAATTAATGTCGCACATCTATTGGTTACAGAGAAATTAACACTAGTCTAAATGAATGATTATAAAAAAGGCCTTATTGACGGATTTGTTTTGGTCACTAGTTTGCAAAACCTTTCATTAGAAATTTTACTGTTAAAGAATGTGTGATTGAAACTGGACTGCCTTTTTTCTGAAAGACCTTTTAAATATAACAGTCATCCATTTTACTAATTGACAAGGATCCTGAAATTTCTTTGTTGTTCAAGTACTTAGTTCATTTTCACGCAACATCTACTTGTTTTTCTTTCATAAAAAGCTAAGTCTATTAAAACTATACCATATTTTGACTTGAAATTATTCCAAATTGTTTGAAATAATTGCATTCGCTCGTTGAAATAATTCCTCCAATGACGTCACATCTGTCAAATATTGAAATAATCCTGAAACCGTATCCAAAGAATGTCTCAAAGAAATAGTGGCAGAAAGACTCTCATTGATTTTCACAGGCGGACATAATGATATTATTTTATTTGTGATGATTGATATATTGGATGCATTCTCAACGATATTGCTAATGAGAAATGAAACCATTCTTTATTTCTCATTTTAATTGATTAACAAACGAATCATTATAGAGTCTTTTGGTGAGATACTGACAAACTTTCAAAAGCAAACATTTCTGCGATGACGTTTACAAAAGTATAAACGGAGTAATCTCAAAATCATTAAAACTACATAATATGGTTTGTGATTTTTTTCTTCTTCCATATTTGTTGGCCTCAGCCAACAGGGCTATCTACCGATAGTAAGTTAATTTGTTTTTAGCATCAAATAGGGCTTATCACGCCATTGTTTGTTTGAAATTCAAATTCTGGCCTTCAAAAACAAAGAATCTTCAGGATACAACATACACCGCCTGTATAGTACTCATACAATTACGCTTCAAAAGCACATACTTCGTTTACAATTTCTCACAGTCTCATCTCGCACAATACAACGCCATCCAAGTTTTCTTGTTGTTAACCTATCAACATAGTCCGAAAGTAAGGTAGAGATAGAGTTTGTAACTATGAGTATCTGAACCATTTGAAGGAAATCAAATAGATGTAACATTGGCAGTGCATATTTATAATTTACACACAATTAGGTCTATTTTCTCTAAACTTCAAGCTCAAAAACATTTATTATAGTTTGTTTGTCGTGATAGCGATACAGTCTGTATTTATACATAAACGTGGGCGATTCCATAAAAGTAGCGATTGATATTGTAAGGGAAACAAATATGGTATAAAATCTTCGATGAAGGTGACAAGGGTCGATAAAATGAGATTTTATTGCTTCTTCAGCTGAGTTGACAATGTATTTCTTCTTCAGACTTGAAGTTGCAGCTTTGAAGCGAATTTCGTCAATATCAATTCAGCACTATTCATAGAATCCTGCCCTAATAATCATCTCGTTATTTTATATTGCAACATTTATATAATTCATTTCCATAAACATTTACCTCATCAAAAGATGTTTTAAATATCGACACCTTTTTTTGTATAAGTATTCAAATAGTCAGTCAGTCAATCCGAAAAAATACATAACTCTATTTACTACAACAAATTTTAGAATGTTTCTTATGGTACACAAACGCGTATGCTGTCTATTTTCGTATATTATATCTTATACAACGGTGAGTATTTTAGAAGATAGTATTTTCGACCAATGAACGGGTTCTTTGGTTACCACATATGTAAATATACAAAGTTGAAGAGGTTTCATTTTTAGAAACCACAAAAAGTGCTCAGCAAAGAGTTCGCTCTTTGTATATTCAATAGAAATATGAAGCATTTCAGTGCTCATAAACAGTTTGTGTGAAAGCATTTTTCATGAGGTACTAAAAACTTTAAAACGGTGATTTATACTAAATTCTACTATAAATATATACTGTCAGTAATATTAACATTTATACACATCCACACATATTTACATCTTAAGATTACAAGCGAAATTCCATATGCTTGTCGTAGTGACACCACTCTAGGCATTGAACACAGATATTGGTTGATTCTCCTCTGAGAATATCTAGAAATTGAGATTTTGATTGGAACTGCATCATTTAGAGTTTTTGATTTCATTTGGGAGCTCTAAGTTTATCACAGGATTCAACCATATGCCGGTGTGTTATACCTATCTCGAGAGCAATTGTTTTGATTCAAGTCAAGGGATGGTTAGGAGATCAACGAATTTTTTGAGTCGATTATTCACTTTATTTCAGAGAGAAAGGTCCTTTAGATCATCTGTTGAGATACTCAAAGCATGAAAAAATCACAATTGAAAGAGGTAAACATTGCTAACATCATGAAACAGTTCAAACTGACATTTCAAAGATATACGACTGAGCAAAGATGAAGCTCAGTTACAAACGAACAAACTAGGTTACAAACGAACAGTAGCTTCTTTTTTGAAATGAGGTTCAGTTGAATATGATGCCCACAAATATGAATGAAGTTTATCTTCCGCACAGAATATTCGCGAATGAAACATATATTTTTATGATCACCATTCAAAAGAAAGTTCATTTGCAATTTGGTCTGTTCGTTTGTATTTCGATTGTTTGTAACCTCATTGTAACTTTTTTATTCTGTGCTTTCGGTACTTTCCATGAAACTGAATGTTTTTGGTAATTTACTAATTTTAAATCGGGTTTTTTTTAGAAAATGTTAAAAATGTTCAAGATGTAACTGTACTTTACATTAGGACCAACCCTTTGCTATATGTATTTCAACATTATTTTAAAATTTGATCGTAGATCTCATTATCACCTATCCCGTATATCATCAACACAATTTCAAGAAGCGAATTGGAATGTAAGGACACTAGGTAGTAGAAATATTATTTGATGCATCATTATATTTCGCAAATAATTAAATTTTCTTATTAAACATCTGAAATTCGATATTAACATCAATAGATTTTATCAAATAAGATATTTGGAGTATTTACATCTGAAATGCTTCAATTTTTGGTGTACACTGTTACATCTCAATTAGAAAATCCTAGTAATTATTTGTCTTCTATCAAAAATATGCCAATAGGTACCAGCGGATGGTAACTGATCATTTGATTGAATTTTTATGTGAATCTAGTCACCCCGTGTTTCTTATCAGCATATTTCATCGCATTAGAGTCGTTTCCATATTTATTTACAAAACAGATGATTTCATATCGAACTTAGTTGAAATAACGAGTTACTTTCCGAGAGTATGGTATAAGCTTGTATGAATATTTAAGCACTGAAAGATCAATTGGAAAAAACGTGATTATGAAAACTGGAGATAACTCTTCATTTTCTGAAAGTATTGCATATGAAACAGGAAAAGTTGATATAAAGAGTCGTAGACAGTATCAGCTAGAAATGAAAAAATATATTCAATAATCGAATCGACTACAGGCCGGCCCGAGAAAGACCGACGAAGAACGTTACTTTCTAGTCGGTTTTTCCGAGACACCCCGTGCAATACACGGACAACTCTTTACAAAAACCCTGTATTTGATCAATTTGATGAATATCATCCCACTAGCGACGAAGGTTTTAAAGGAGGAGGAATTTGGCAACGAGGATCATCACGAGCTGCGGTCCTATCGCCGTAATCGAAGCTTTGCTTACTTGTATGTCGCCTTCTTTGAGGAATGGCGCGTCAATGACGTGGATGATGCCGTTGGTGCATTCGACGTTTGGTCTGAACACAGGAATTTTTTCTCCTTTCCAGTTGATTATGAATGCTGAAGAAAAAAAAGTTTATTTAAGGACTCGAACATGATTTGTTGTGTGAATTATTGACGTCAGCGCCCCTATGGGATGACTGGCAAACTAGAAGTAATGGCGCGAAAATTTAAAACTACGTTTTTGTGAGAGTTACTCGAATTACATTATCAATATCACTAGCATACCTACATCAAGTAACTGTTGAGATGAATTGCTTGATTGCAATGAGTTTCTCGTATTCTAGCACTGTATATGCGTTTGATTGGTAGATGTCTACTGTTTTGTAGTTCACATGTGGTATGAATGAAGTTGCTAACATGTGTTGTCAATGTGGAATAAATAAGAAGAAGAAGAATAATTAATAACAGTGCGGAATTATGGAGGGTAGAGATAAGGAGAACCGTCTCTGTGTGTGGAAAAGTGTCCGTTAGTGCTAATTAAGGGTGGCGCTACGGTAGCAACGGGGTAAATTTAAAAAAATGCGCTGGAGGGTTTTTGAACTGTTATTTACTGCTTATTCAATGAGTGATTTGGATGTTCTTTCAGTTGGACCTATGTAACCTTTGTTGTTATTAATATGCATGCTCAGGTTGTTATGAGTTTTACAGGAGCTGAGATCGTGATTTATCGTAGTGGAAAGTGACAAAATATAGTTTCCAGATATATTTTGAAACATCCATATTTCATGTGTAGTGTTAAGGAGATGAAGTGATACTTTTTATTGAGAAACACTCTGGATGTTCTGGAAACAAGAAGAAGAAACTAGCCTACTACCACTACTACGATGTTTAGCAATTCTGTAGCATTACTTTCAACTTCTTTACTCTGTGTACGGTGCATAAAATACGAAAGCGTGATTTTATTTGTGCGCACTGGACAGAACAGAACTTTAATTTCGACTGGAATATTCAAATCAGCAATGTATTCGATTATTTACTGAGAAAACTAGACTTTAATTTGATTGAAGGATAATCCTAATTCTGGCAGATGTAATTTTCACCATACCGCATGGTAATGAATTCTGATTCGTGTGGAGTATGTAAATTAGTTTCGATTCATTACGAAGTTCATGGCGACAATTCGTTACGGGAACTAAGAATAATAATTATAGATTAATACAGGGTGTTGACGAATGTATTAGACAAATCGTAACTTCGTAACAAGAATGATCGTTTATAGAAAAAACGCGTTTCATATGGTTTAAATGAGGTTTGTTGTTCACCTAGTATATTGCGTTTCTGAGACGCCCGTAACATCTTTCTTATCTATAAAACGGATCATATCCAGCTACTACAACACTTTCCTGACCTATGCGCTCTTTCTCAGACGCGAATGTCAATTCCACATTTGAAATATACAAGGTATTTCGAAAACAATATGTTCTTGGAACATTTCATTTGGAAAGTACCTAAATACCCAATTTTGTTCCTTGGCTTCGAATATTTTGTCGACAGATTAAAATCATTGTGGACGTATTTAATTATATTGAATAATCGAAGTTCCATTATCTTGGCATTCAAAACAACCCACATCAACTTCCAGTTCAATTTTAGTCGGTTGACGAAAATGAATCTGCTCTTTATGATATTGAATTCCATTCGTCGATAATATGTTTACCATAATCCAATCACACAGCGCCAAAGATAATTTGATTCAGAATTGAATCTGAGATAATCTAGCAATCTGCTGAAACGCAATGAAAATTCTATTCGTGTCTTATACGCTTTACCGCGATTTCATTCGTACACAGTCGAATTTAAAGTGGATATTTGAACGAAAACAGTTACACAGGAATAACTTTTTAGCAAATTTTCACGATTTACTTACTTGTGTTATCGGATTCTGGGTCAACTGATGGAGAAAATGAGAAAAATATGAAATCAATAAACTCAAAATAAAATGAGTTGAAAACGACTTGTCATTACTTTTAATTCATTTGATGGGCAATAAACAAAACATAGAACTGAAAGAAGGGTAAATGTAACTGGAAATAAAAAACATTTCCTCCTGCACATTTTTCAAAGCGATGAGATAATTATATATATTCTCAAACAATATTCATTGATCCATTTAGTTTCTGCTTGACAACCAAAACTCAATATTGAATAGGAAGTAATTGATGATATTTCTTTACTTCTTGTCCGAGGCTCTGCGATATGTTTACATCTGGTTCATGAGTTGATGAATACAAGAAGTATTTTCATTCCACACTACTCAACATATATCTGATTTCTGCAGATATCAGTGATCTTCAGAGGATTCCTTCAGAACCAATATACTTATTGACTTTAGTTTTCCTTCCAGTTCCTTTTCCACCTCAGTTTATCCCTTACTTTTCATTATCTTCCTCACCATTTATGTTTTCAACAATTGAAGAAGTATAGTTTCCATCCTTCTATCGATTAATCTTATTCAGATTTGTGGAGTCCTATCATAATAGTATGTACTATGTTCATTCATCAAATTTGCTTTTGTTCAAATTTTGTAGCCCTTTAAAGTTTCTGTTGACATTTGAAATGACTCAAATAATTGTAAAAATAAATAACTTGAATCAAAAGATCAACCAAAACATATTTGAAGTTGATTTGGCTGTTTGTTTTCACCTCTGAAGCGTATTTTCTTTGTCCTCGTAACATGAATCTTCATGGAGGGTCAGATCAAATCTCTCTTTTATTCTCATCCCGTTCATTTTCTTTTTGAGAGCCATCCTTTCGAGTGATCAGTATCCATATGTGGAGAAAATACGGCTATTTTTTCCATGCAGGTACAAAGTTTCTGTTTTTTTTTCATAATTGCATTGTCTGCGTAAGTACTAGAATCAATTATAATAATGAAAGCTGCTAAGTATTGAATGCTTCTTGATCTTTGTGTGTTGATTTTAGAACTATTGTGCCCCATTCGAAATGAAAGTTTTGCCATCAAAAACAAATTTGTACAAAACTTGCTTCTGCATTGTATCCACAAGTTGCTTCTAGACGTTGAGATGTATGTGTCGCGTTATGTAGTCCGAATAGCATTCTAAAGAATGCGTTTATTATCAGTTTGCATTCATTGCGATCACCAACAAATCAGGCAATTCACTCGACATTAGTAGCCAATATTATCTGAAACACATCAAATTCTGTCTGATGTAATTTTCGATAGACGAGTTGATTCGGAATTGTTGATGGGTTGTCAGAGTTGGAACAATTGTTTGGCTAGGCAAAGCTTTCTCATTCAGCTTATCTTCAGTGTCAAATTCTTGGTGACAAAGTATTATGCGAATGTTATAACTTCGAACGTTATTACCAGATTCGAAATCTATGGAAGAACAAATGGAATGGAAATGATGATATGTTGAAGTATGAGTATGAAAGATAAAAAAATGTAAGAAGGCTAATTTGTAGAGCAAACAAATTATTGTGACTTGAATATAAATGATTGAACGACTGAAAAATAAAAAAGAGATTTCAAATCAAATCATTTTGTTTTAAGGTGACGACTGATGACATCACCAGATATTAGTAAATTTAATGTTTCACAATTCTATCATGGATTTCAACAAACAAGATATTAGCAATTGTAAAAAATGTGTAGCCAACGTAATTAAATACTGGAACCTGTCGCAATCGAAAAACTCATCGACTCGAATGAAATACTCCCCAGTCAATCAGTTTTCGTTTTCATTAACCCCGAAATCCCAGAAATACTCACTGTTATCCTGACGTTCCTCTACGAACAGCTTCAGGGATCCCCTCATCGTGGGTAATTCAACCTCCTTCCTCTGGCCGAACGTCCCGAAGGTATTGCTTTCGTTCGTCATCCGCTTGATTCGTTCCATTGTGTACGGTTCGTCAGAGATAACCAGGTGGCGTTCCAGAGTGGCAGTTGCCTGTAATTGAAGAAATGCGGTTCATTAGTAACCGCAAGAGCCCATCTTCGAAATGGGGTGGTGGAATAATTTAAGAGAAGTAAAAGTTTCAAGAGATCCAAAAGCCTGCTCTACTAGTTGTTAATACCTAAATTTTCTTTCATTATATGAATATGACAACCCAGGATGTCTTTCGGAGGTATAAAGGCTGATATATCCTGTGGACATTTATGGGATTGTTAACGAGAATGTATGAGGCACAAATGGATGATGTGCTATCAAATCTTTCAATGTTTCCAGTTATAACCTTTCCTATATGGATAGTCGATTTGATTACTTGCTGGACATTTTACAAAGAAGAAAGAGGATATGATTTTTACTCACATGATAGGCGTACTCCTTCATAAATAACGTCTTGATGGCCGTTGGTAATGTCACTTTGGCGTCAAACCAGGCTTTGTCCCTTGGAACGAAATATGTGAATTTTTTCGTGGTGTTGACCAGCTGGTTATTGAATCCTTGTAGATTTCCCAAAGTATATGTAGCTCTGAAATTTTAAAGAGAAAATCAGAATGAACTAGCTATATATCCGTCATTGTTGATAGTGTCAATGATACGTTACCAGATTCAATGAACTCATCGTTCTTTGCACCACTGAATTTGGGACTAACATTATTGTTTTCCAATATTTTTTCCAGACCAAACACTGCATTGTTGAATCAGTTAATAGGGGTGAAACTGTCGCTACTTACTTGAGCATGGGGTCGTTCCTCAACTTGTCGAGGACGGTGGAGTAGGGCACTCCGAGAACACGGTCGATGACGTGGATGATGCCGTTGGTGGCGGCAAGATCGGCTTGGATTACTGTCGCGTTAACACCGCCTCCTTCCACTGACATGGTTCGGTTTGGACCAGAAGTCAGCACGTTGAAGTACAGCTTCTTGCCCTTGCTGAGGGTTTGCGCCTGGAACACCTGAAGAAAAAAAGGTTCTTTAACTAACTTCATCTACGGTGGAATCGGATATGAAATCACTCAGAGTAACACTGACGGGAAAAAAAATTAAAGAATGTATTCGCAAATTCTAGACTTTCCAAAAAGAGGATGATTCAGAGTGTACAGTTCTCTCATATGAACCGAAATGCGTCGAAAAATCAGTTCGAATTAAAAAAAAACAAATATGAAAGTGTCTTTCAAGACTTAGTACATACACTCCATTAACGAGTGTAGGACAAAACAAAAGATAAGATGACGGAAGAGTATGAGAATTTCGAAATAAGCTATGAGGATAGCGACTAGAAGTATGTTGGTCATACTGAGCGAAGTATAATAACGCGTTTGAAGGAACATATTTCACTTAGTCGGTTTCGTAGACCAGAGGAGTTTAGTGTTTCAGCGAACAACCAAAGAATACTTGGAAAATATTTAAAATTGTTGACATCGGTTCATCCGTCTCATTTCAAATATCCAATTGTTCATACTCTCCCATAATAATTAGAAATATTAGGGTGTTCCTAAAGTTTAGCCCATTTTTATGAGTCTACTTCAATCTGTAATATCTCAACGGAAACTCATTCAATTCAATCGAAATAAATCGAAATACTAGCTTCCATATTCTCATCCATATTCTCATATTGTCAACATTGCAGCCCTCAAGTTTTTTTCCACATAATTTCAAAGAATTCGGAACCCATCGTTTACTTCCTCCGCAATGCACAATGATTAGTCGCGATCCTTTGTTTGCAGGCATGTTAGGCGTACACATTCTCGAACCATCAGTCCACCCTTTCGTAACTGTGTTGTGAGTATCACACCCAGTTTCGTCCAAATAGAAAATTTGCCGTTGTTCTTGTCTATATTTGATTATTTGTTCTAAGTATTTGTTACGCAATTCCACTATTCTTCTGCTTTCCATAACTAATTGACATTTGTTTATTATTTCAAATCTAAATCCTAGTTTCTTATCCAATTCTGAAGAGTTTTGGTAATCCCGTATCACATCGCGTCTTGCGTTCATAAGGTTTGTTTTTGACTATTTTACGTACAGTTGAGAACGGAATTTCGGTCAAATTTGATGTCGCTTGTAATAGTTTGTTTCCCTCGAAACCAAACTTGAGATGTAGATTCATATATACATTAAAACACACTATGTATGTTTCAATATTCAATCAGTTCCTGAACTGAACACATTACTATTTTGGAAACGGAGTTTCGTATTATAAGATACCTATCAGGAAGTTCATAGAGGGAACTAGTATACAAAAAATGAAAAAAAAAGATGATTTTAACAGAAATGTCGGTGAGAGTATCACCTCGATTGACAGTGACTAACGACCGTGTCTAAATTAAAAGTCCGCACCGTACAGATAAGCTGTAACGTGACTCTAATCCCTTTCATGCGAGACCCAAACAAAAACGGAAGAATTATGGCATTTTCCATGAAAAGATAATGCATAATTGAAGTAATTCCATCAGCTGAAGCCACCTAAGGGACGATAAATAAGCACCGAGAGCTAAAAAGTTCATCCGTTGAAAAAAACGACCGCAGAACGTTACCGAAGGTCACACATCAACAAAGGGATGTTATTTATAGGTGACCCCGAAAGAGTTTTTTTCATTAGTTCCAGGTGGATATTCGGAAGGATGAGTTTAGTTTGCAGGAAACATTTATTAGGTCTATGAAAAGTCCACAAAGGCAAATATCTATCTTTCAAGAATAGCCTACTATACCAGTTTCAATGTTTGAAATGATGGTCAAATGCAATGTGGTGTGTAGAAAGCTATTTTATTAGTTTTCTAGAGCAGGGGTCTCCAAACTTTGAAGCCTTCGGGCCATAATGATTTTTTCAGTTTGTTCCAAGGGCCAATTTCTGCCCTTAACTATATTTCTAGACTAGGATAGTCGCAAAGTGCGTGACCTAAGCAAACTTACGTTTTTTTTGCACTTCAATTATTATTGTGTATTGTGGCACTTAACGACATCTAGTGGCGAGTAGTGGTACTATGTACTATCTTTTTCAGCTACCCGCTAGGTGGCATTAGGCGTAATTAAATATTTGTAATTACCGTGTTGGTTCGAGAAAGTTCTGGTTCTAGCTAGTGTATTCCGATAACCTCGAGATGGCAGTAATAATTGCGTATAAAAAGGCTAGCAGCGCAACTGCGAGTTAGTCTGCGTAGGAAAGGCGAAGGAAGCGAAACTGTCTATTGTGAAATAAAGTAACACCCGTCAATAAAAGTATTTTGATTTGACTTATTGTTTTTATGTGTGATTTGTTAGTATGGAAAAGAAGCGAAAAATCGACAGTGAATGCAGAACGTTCCAAGGAAAATGGAACTTTCAGTATTTTGTGATTGAGTCCAGTAATAAGGCGCTATGTTTAATTTGTAATGAAACCATAGCTGTTCTCAAAGACTATAACATTAAACGACACTATGAATCGAAACATCTTCAAAGTTACTCCAAGTATACAGGAAGTTTGCGGAAGGAAAAATTTGAAGCTTTGAAACGCGGACTCAAATCGCAGCAATCTTTGTTTATCAAAGCGAATACTGAACAAGAGTCTGCAACTCGCGCCAGCTTTCGTGTGGCTCTTGAAATCGGAAAACGTGGCAAACCATTCACCGATGGAGAAATGATAAAAGAATGCTTGATTGCAGTAGCCGAAGAAATATGCCCCGAAAAGGTAAATTTATTTAAAAGTGTCAGTTTGTCAGCAAACACCGTGGCTCGGAGGGTGCAAGACCTGAAGGTATTTTTGATTCATCTGTGAACCAACAACTATCTGCTCTCGATAATAATAGTCGCTTTGCTAACGGCAATATCAGAAATCATGGAACATCAACAAATCTTTGAATATTTGGAGCTAGTGGGTGACAAAGCATACATGCCTACATTTTTTTTCTATCACAATATCCCATCAGCTTGTGACTATGGATGATGCCCTTTGATGAAATCAACTCAAACAAAAGTATGTATCTATTTCAATGTCGAAATATCTTGAAACCTGAATGTTTTGATTTTGAACTATCTATTTCCATTTAAAAATTCATTTGAACATACAAAAGCATACTTGTGATGCACTGTTTGAAACGTTTGGTGTAGTAATGAATACTGCTGGAGTTTTTTACCAACACCAAACCGTTATTTCAACATCTCGACACGTGTTTCGATCACCAAGTGATCATTTTCAAGAGGAAGATCAGAACTCTTGAATCACTATGTCAATTGGTGAGTTTATCGCGTTTAGACAGGCATATATGGCAGTTTTCACAATATGTAGTGATGACTGTTATAATATAGAGGATTCAACTGTGGAAAGCGAGAAGGTTAATGTAAAAGGAGTTCTCATCATTTACCTAGTTTTTCCAAATAATCAATTTCAATTTACACTGAGTTCTGAGATTATTGGCATTTGATATTCAATTTTGATATCTCTGTCCTTTGTATATTCGAAATGAACTCATTACTTTCCGCTCGCTCCACCATATCTTCGTATTTTGATCTAATTCGTTCACGGCTCCAAATATCCCTATAACGCAATTTGACCTCAGTTCACGGCGGAGACCTAATCAAATACTCGTACTGACTGTCACTGATCCTTTGTCATTGGATTAACTGCCCTGTATACATACGGGAAGCAGCTAATAAGCGATTCATCTGCTGTAACAGTGTCCTTTGTTAATTATGTACCTATCTATTGAGCATTTCGCCATATCTGTTCAGTCAAGCATCAAGGTGGGCTTCGAAATAATTGATTAGGAGACATTGTGGTTGTTGTATTGAAATGTTTTGAACGAATCTGGAAATATGGCCAAAATAGGCCTATCGACCGTTTGTTCGATGGTTATTTCTAGAGGTTACGTAGAGGAGCATTGTCATTATAGTTAGCTTAGTTTGACCAACATACTTTGTTTCACAATCCTCACGACTCATTTCATAAATCCCAGATTTTCCACCCAACAGTTGTTGGAGTGTATAATTCCGTTTCTTTTTCAAATTACCATTTGAAAGAAACCTGTTGTTCTCAGCCATTTCCTTGATAACTTCTTCCCGATGTCGTACCGTTCTTTGGTCAAGAAGGACATACACTTACCTTGTTATGACTTTCCTTGGCGATCTTGTCTACGTAGAGTCTATCATCGACGACCAAGTGCAACTTCAGGATCTCCAAAAACCTTTTGTTGTCACTCAAGATGCTGTTCAGGACAAGGTCTCCTTCTAGGGCTTTGTTGCATGGTGCGAACAGTGTAATGTCGTGAGACCTTTCCAGAGTTTTCAAGAAATCTTCTCCCCCAGGTCCAGCATCCTTGATTGCGCTGAAGAAGTTGCTGAGGATTTTTCCGTCCTGTTCCTGCCGGAAAGAGATGAAAAAAACGTTAGAGAAACATAGTTGGGGTTAGGTAATACAGAAGCTGATGGAAGCGCTACTCTATCTATATAAAGGGAAGAGCTATTGATGTTTGGTGTTTGAGAATCGTGTGTTACTTTCTCTGGAATATTTTCAGTTCATTTACTACACTTATTGTCCTCCAGCGCTCGCAATGAGAACTGGTGAGCTTTCCTGCAACGAGATACTGCAGAATGCTAATTCTGCTATGAAGAAAATTATTGATATTCCAGTAATCTGTGATTTGAAAAAAACGACAATGTCATTTTCTGTACTTGATATTGCTGGAGGAAGAGGAGTTTTCTCCACAGTCGAAGACATTCGATGTTATCCGATAGAAGTGGGTGAAATCAATATGGATGTGAAGCTGTACGAGGAAGCTGCAGATACATAGACTGCATGTTCAGAGGAAGATTGGTATAGCAAGGGGCTGTCCTTTGAGTTATGTATCCATGTAATGAGCACGTTGAATCTTCTTCGGGTCCATAGTGAATATAAAAACCTGAGCTGTGCGTACGGTATAGTCATTCTAGCCCAGGGAAAATATATTAATATAATATGAGGACGAATTCCAGCAGACTCTGGATAATATATCAAAATGGGCTAAGAAAGAAGAGTCCATCATTAACCAAGTCGACTATAGGAGTATTCACTAAGAAGATCGAGATAGAGGATCTCAGACTTTTGCAACTTTGAGATGAAGAGATACAACAGTTGGGTTAGATTGGATATCTGAGAACATGTCGGTGGAAAAATGTGGAGCTGGCATTGATGTTGGACAGGTGCACCTAAGCCAATACTTTTAGGCTCAAACTAGATATGGTGTAGTGACTTAACTCGATGGTAGTTGAACCCATGATATGTCTTTTTAGTTTGGTTGCCGAAGATGAAACAAGCTACTGTTCAAGATGCCTATATACTGACTTTTGCTGGGATCCGCAAGCTGGTACAAATAGTCACCAACTCTATTTATTTCAGACCTTGCCAGGAGTAACGACAGAATGGAAACCAAACAAATTCCTCGGGCAAATATAAAACTTTCAACAGAATTCATTTAGAGATTACCGCCTGCATATATCACGAGCTTCTGCACAACTGCCGAATTAGTTTTTAATGAACGAAAATACCGTGCTTTACTACGGCCATATTTTTTAATTCTTTGAACGCTCCCTAGCATTATTTATGCATATTTAAATCCACCCATGCTGCGTTATTGGAGAAAAAGAACGAAAGCGGAATATAAAAATGTTGGAATATACACTGGCTGGCGCGGGAGAAGTTCCACGAATAAAAAACTAGTAGCTGTTGGAGGTAAAAAAGATCTTTCACGGGTGTGGTTGATGAGTTCGCTGCGAGAAAAATTAACACACGGTCAAGTTCATGAAGGATGTGGCACCCTTGAGGGACATAATTTTATACATTCACAATGATATCCAAAATGCCATACTTTTGAATATTTTTTCTATGAAATTATTCGATAGTTTACTTTAAATCATTGCAGCCATTTGAAAATAAACAATTTTGTCTTAAAATAAGTTCATCTCAGCAACGACTTGTTCATACACCACTGAAGATGTATGCCACTGTTGCAGAGGACGAAACGTTTGGACTACAAGTTCCTTTCGACTACGGCCTAATAGCCGGGATTTTGTTCCATCTAACATATTGGAATCGCAGAGACGACTGCATTGCCCAGTTGATATTCCATAATGGCCTTTTTTTATATATCAACGAGTTTGTCGTCAAAACTGCCTCATGTATAATGATAATGCTTCACTTCCAGTGAAATCCAACATTGTTAGAAGCCTTCAACAATACAAATATTTGTATGAATTGAAAGCGGTGTATTTTCAGGAGAGATTTTATGGAGAAGAAAGGTTTTGGCTATCTTCTTCTCCATCTTCTTTTTCCTTTCGTTCGATATGCACCATCATTGTTTTTACTCTGTCAACACATTCAATATCTCAACCTCTTTCTTTTGATGTGCTGCACGTGACGATACGACTATTATTATTTCTTCACCTTTCATTCCTTGTGATACACCCGTTAATTCAACTATCATTAACGAAGATACAACTTGGTGTCGTCATGACATGTAATGCCATCTTTGTGTTTTATCTGTCGATAAATTCAATATTCCTGTTTTCCTTTCATTTGACTATTACTAACGAAGATGTGGCTTAGTGCCCAACTGACATGTTGCGCCATCTTTGTTCATTCTCTAGTTGAATCGATGGTTAAATCGATGATCAAATCGATGACCAATTCGAGAACATCAAGGACCACTTCGAGGATCAGGTCGAGTTCCTATCTTGAGATAGGGGATGTCTCATCCTTATTCAAATGCCAATTCGAGAGCTAGATCAAGAACCAAGCCGAGGGCCAAGTTGAAGTCTTAATCGCCGACCTGTTTGAATGACCTTGAAAGGTCTGAAATTTGCAAAATGAAGCGCCATAACAAAAAGCGTGGGACATTGGACTAGAATCTGTATAGCCTATATACTTTCATATAAAAAATGTGGTAATCTTCAAAAAAAAGGAAGAAAGCAAGTGACCCTTCAGAAATATGTGTGTCATAGTGATACTATGTCACAAGTATCTACTTTCCTTTGACGTTCATTTTATCAGCATATGCAATAATGGGAAACCTAACCTACATTTCCAAAGCAAGCTCTCAGTCTCCACAACGTTGCATTTTTAGATCGATTAAATTATTATTCACGCCATAAAAAGACCTGGAATAATCCATGGATAGCTCACATATATAGTAAGTTATCTAGAGGCATCAGAGTGTAGAAGCTATACAGAGCTGTTTCAGTGGTTTTAATTTGTGTGGAACCATGTTGATTTGGTAGGAATTGGGAACTATGCTGAGGCCAAACAACTTGGCAAAACTAGGCAAAAGATATTTGTTACTGGGAGAAATGTGATAACATTTCTACGCCAATTTCAATGCTCCAGATAATCGCATTTCTTTTGACTTCACCCCGTATAATCGATTATATCGCATTGTGTTTTGAGACTTTACAACTAAGAACACGATAAATATTGGCCACAAAAGCGAGTGAGTCAACAGTTGGTGGAGAAATAACGGCTTGTACAAACATGCACTGGAAGAGAGGAATAATGTAATGAAATGTGTACATATACAGGATGAAGTAAACATCAAGTTACCTTGTATTGCTGCAGTTTCCAAGAGATAAGCGGAAAAGCAAGGAAGTAACATTAACACTTTTAGTTTACATATAAATATATGATGTCAGTGGTTTTTGTGTGAGTGATATGTAAGCAGAAAAATTTATATAAACGTTGAGCACATGTGGCATCCTGCAATGGTACAGTATGAACATGCAAGTGGGGACTTTTTATACAGTAGAATTAACAAACAAATACTACTTAATTATAATTAGGCCATTATAATTATATTAATGTACATTTTTATGAAATACAGTATGTACAGGATGTTTCTCAATAGCATGGTAATATTTAAAATTATTTTTATGTCCTTTCCGATGAAAAATTCATATGAACATATCTTGAATATAATAAGAATATTTTCATGAGAGAATAATTTTTTTGAAAGGAAGGTTTCGGCTTCCTACTTCTCTATCTTTATACAAAAAATGTGTCAATCTTCAAAAAAAGGAAAAAATCAATTATTTCAGAATGAATTGTTCACAGAGACGCGTAGATCATACAAAAAAGTGAGTTACAACAAAGTTTCAACAAAAGTGTCACTGTGAAGAATCAGTATATAACTGAACGGAATCACAAAAAAATCATGACACAATTACTGAAAAATATCACCTACAGACCGTTCCCATGTTCCTAAATTATCATCTGTCTTTTTTCCCAGATGAAATTATAACGTTCATCGTTAATTGAGCTCGTAAATTTTCATGCAGAACGAACATTTTCAATTCGCTTAATGAACTTGTCGATTGTAGTTCACGAAATTGTTTCTAGAAACTCCCTCATTGAAATTAGTCCGCCAAATATCATTTTCGTCAGAAGTTAAACACAAGTCGTATCGTTCGAATTATCATTACCCCAGAAACTTGGAAATTAAGTTTACGGCTTTGTTTACTTGGATACGAGGAAAACCGATGTAAATACCAGAAGAATATTTACTTCTCTTGGATGTTATAGCGATGCGCCAAACTACTTCAAACCGGAGGAGTTTATTTGTAAACGAAATAGTTTCCTGGTTACTGGGAGTTGATATGTGAGGTCTGGAAAATCTTTCGAAATCATTGATGTAACTGAAAATGAAGACAAACAATCTTTTGATTGCGTTTTGAAGGCTGCTTTCCAGTCAGAACCTAGTACCAATCTGTTATAGCACCTGCTGGAAAGAAAGCGGTGGATACATCATGGTTCATATATGCAGTTCCACAAGGAAGTATCCCTGGGCCGCTATTATGTCTGATATACAATAACGACTTGTCACTGTGTACATCAATTTCAATCTGTTCCATATTTATGACTCTATAAAAACTTGTCTACTCTCAGTACGTTTGTTAATCTAGCCCGAGCTTTCGATATAGTGAACTATGAAATACTGAAATGAATATAATTAAAAATAAGCTGTTGAAACATGGGAAGTTCAGATTTGGGTATAAATTATTTGTTTATAGAGTCCACTGCTGTATAGCAGAATGCCACATGATGCTCATATGCCAATAAACAGAAAGCTGTTACTTCTAATACATGACAGATGACAGCACGACAAATTTGACACGACAAATACAGCGATAGCATACTATAGATGTTGAGTATATCCAAACAATAAATTTTAACTGCACCTAACTACACTTCATTTACAGTGACTGACTTATATTGAATATCTAAACTCTTTTTCGTCAATCCTTCATATTATTTCTGTTATTTGGTCGTCAAAAACTTATTTCTGACTAGAGATCATTTCTATAAGCAATAGTCGCGTGTTATATTAGATTTGTTATCAAAATAAGGGGTTGAAAATTTTGTAGATGATATTGGAATGTCACAGAATCTTGATTGAAATCCTCGTTGAACTATAATTGACAAATACTAGCAGAAATATCAAATATTACATGGATCTCATCTTTGAAGCAAGCATTATCTATCAGCTAGCAAAAGCTGCTTCATTCTACAAGGTATGCCATATTCTTGAGTAAGTTTCTACTTCTTAGGGTTGTTGCCCGAAAGGAAGCAACACCTGATTAACGAAGAAAGAGATTCCATACAGATTTCAAACATATCATTAGTTCGGTCTTCCATTGTCTAATATAATTTGAAATCCCTGAAAGAACACACAAAATAACAATTATATTGAGGACGAATTCTTTACGCAATGTCAATGGAATCGCCACTTTCACCAGTTTTAGCCAACATGTATATGGAGTATTTCGAAACTCTGGCCATTGAAGAAGCCCACAAGAAGCTCTGAGTCTGGTTGATGTAAGTTCACGACATCTTCATGACATGGAACTATGGGAATACAAAAATAGACACCTTTTTCAAGCACATCAACCGCGTAAGACCTTTCATCACCAAAAACCCATTCACACGGGACAGTATCTGAACCAAGAATCCAACCACCATCAATCGACTGAAAGAGGAATCATCAAGATTGTAGTAGACCATGCTTTCGTGCTCTGTAATACAAAAGAAGGTTTCGAAAAGAAACTAGGCATCATCAAAAATGACCTTCAACGGAATGGTTACTCCAAAGTAAACATACTTTGGCTAAAAGACAGCAAGAGCCTCACGAAGAAGAGAATCCGTCATAACCAGTGCTTGCACTTCCCTACATCAGAGAATTGTCGGAAAGGATAAGAAGAACTGGGTCCAAGTACATCATAACCTGCTTCAGATTCGGAAACAGCACGAAAACCAGCAAATCGGGAATAGCAGAGCATGTTTGGCCTCATCAACATCATATCAACTGGTCCGAAGCTGAGATCATCCACAGGGAGGGACACTGGTTCAGGAAGAAATTCAAAGAAGCCGCATATATGTTGTCTTACAGCGCCTTCAGCAAAGTTAGCGTAGAAATAGGCAACATATGAGTATGGAAACCCACAGTTAAGCGGAGAACGGTCAACTCCCGCCGAACGATCATCTCCCGCTAAACCGGTGAAGCGTAGAGAGGAAAGAGGGGATATGTGAAAGCACTCGAATGACCTATAAATAGTCATCTCAGTTATTACCTGAAGATGATTGTAGACACTAACAATCGAAACGTCGTAACTCGGCTTGAAATCTTTGAATTTTTGTTTCTTTTCAATTGTTCAATTTGTTGCTTAATTTTTATTTCATTATCGTTTCCTTTCAGGGTTGTTTTTTTGCACAATATAATTGTTATTTTCAGCTATTCATTTTGATTTTTAATTTCATTTGTTCTTTCAGGGATTCAGGGATTTCAAATTGTACAATTGTATGAACTAATGAAATTCATCTTGAATCATAGTTAACCACCTTTAAACAAGATTTTAAAGTGATTTATAAAGGACTCATGCTACTTCAAAATGAATTAGTTGATCTATTTATCAGTAAAGATAATTTTATGGGGTCGAATCAAGTCAGTTGTGATATCTTTATCTGTGACGTAATCAAAAGAAAACAATTCATTAGCGTTAATATACCCACAAATTTTTGTCAGAAAATTTGCAAAAATTTCACTTGAAAATCGATAAATTTGATTTGAACAATTTTCAATATGGCATACCACATTTTAATGATTCCAGGATTTGACTTTATTATAACTGTCCAGACTCAAAAAGAGAGTAATGTATACAAGATATTCCAAACATGAATCAGATCACAGCAGAAAAAGGTCACAAATGTACATTTTTGGTGTTGAACCACGTTAGGTTCACTACTGATTATAGCGAAAAAAATTAAATTTGATAACTTTCCAATTTTATTCAGAAAATATTTTATACACTTTTCTTGTATACGTGTTTTTTCGAAAAAAGGCTGGACAGCAATAATGCAAAGTACCCTGTACATAGCCTCTAGTACCGTAGTACAGCGAACGCCACTGATATGATAATATGAGGGTAACCTACAGCACTGATTTCATTTGGAAGCACAACGGAGTATTGGATAACCTCCGGTTCCTTATAATTTTCCTGTCTAGCAACATTGCCTACGTTGCATATATAGTCCATTTGTTCCTGCACCGATGAAACCGTCAATTGAAATAATAGTTTTTTTTCACAATGGAATGAAACATTTTGTAGAAACCAGACGCGATAAAAACATCCATTAATTGATAATGATCATAACCTGTTATCTGGATTTCTGCTGATCACTTGATCACTTGATCAGTTCTCAATACTATATCAATTGAAAATAACAAAATCTCAAAAAACTCTTTGAAGATGATCACTTGGTAATCGAAACACGTGTCGATTATTGGAAATTTCAACTGATATTTCGTTCCATCGTGATTATTACAAACTCAGTTATTAGATATCCTCTGAACCATAATTATAAATGAAGAATTCTGAATAAAACGGTCTTAGATTTTGCAATATTCAAAAACATCGTCGAACACACTGTTTAACTTTCACTTATATTGTTACTGATATCTGACAACTGAATTCATTTTGGTTGAAACTCAATAAATGCCGTAGAATTCCTTAAAACTGCAACAACTCAACTTCCATGTTATACAAGAGAAACAAAAATTTGTGAAAATTAGTGAATGTGAGATCTTGAGGACTACTTCAAATGGTTTTTCATATTTCGAGTTCAGATATTTTTTCAGTTAATTTCTTCAAATATTTTACCCACTTGATTATTGGCACTATGAGAAAAACAATGAAAACCCACTATTACCTTTTGTTTTTTGTGAATTCGTATCTGAGAAGCTGGGTAATTTGAATTTTTTTGAATTGAAAACTCAAAGAATCGGCATATATCTTTTAACAGTTTATTTCGAATAGTTCTGTGAAAATGAAATCTATCTGATTGCCGTTACTAAGAAGAGAGATTGAAAACGGAAATATGAACCTCAACTGAATTCTAAAAAAAACATCCAGTATATGTATTCATGTAGACTATGACATCTGGACATCTCATCCTCTTGACGTCAGAAGAATTATAACCGACCGCTGAAGAGAGCTAATTAATTTTTTTCAAATGATTTTGTTCAATTCCCACTTTGTCAATGAGATACCTACTCTATTAGACAATGATTGATTGGTTGAATATAAAACGTTCCACTCGGATTACCTCCCACTTTTCAGGCTAAATTAATAGAGCTGAGATTTCAGGCTGAATTTTCGGGCTAAATTTTCAGGCTGAATTTTCTGGCTAAATTTTCAGGCTAAATTTTCAGGCAAAATTATTATTCATAACGAAATCCTTATGAAAAATCATTTGATAAGTTCCTCAGGACAGAAAAAAACGAACAATGTATATGTGGTGCAGTATAGAGTGGCATGTAGAGAGAAGTGTTACAAAACGCATGGAAACCATAGAAAAATCCAATCTTACCTCCAACAGCTTCTTGACTGTACTATCCACCACCATGAGCGGCTTCTGGATGAGGTGGACGACCCCGTTTTTGACAGGGATGTTGGGTTTGACGATCTCGGCGATGACGACACCCTGGGCGTGCTTTCCGTCCCCGAATAAAGTGTGACTTTTGACGTAATCTGAAAGAAAGTGGGTTTTATCAAAAGACCTCTGAATAAAGTACGCCCTGAATATTATAGCAAGATGGACCGAAGAAGGCGGGTTTAACATAAGCCCATCCAAATCGACCATAGTAGCATTCACCAAGAGGACTGAAACGGAGGGTCTTGGACCTCTAAAACTTTGAAGTGAAGAAATACAAGTGTCACAAGGATCACAGGTAATGATGAAGCTGATGAACGCGCTAGACACGGATCATCAACTTCATATATAGGTTCTGAACCAGCTCTGGGGGTACCAAAATCATTGGTACGAAACCAGATTAGGACATGAACCAATAAGAAGTACACAGAGTACTGGACAACAGTACCTGGCAACAAACACAGTAGAACTTGGAACTTGGAATACCAAAAATCGTGTCAACAAACTGAGTCGTTAATATTTATTTTCAAAATGTTGCAAGGTTGAACACGACATCATTGACTCTACTAGGTTATTTCAACAGTTTGGTCAGAGTATCAAGGTTGCAAGTGATGTTGGCGTCTCCAATCAGGCGGTTGGCTCTTTAGGTTATGTTTAGGGGTCTGATCTGAGCTTTATTAAGTATCAAAAGTTGCTGAGGTTTGTACAGTTTTCTGGCTTGGAACAATGTTGCAAGCTCTTGAGAAGCAGCCTTTGCAATTCCACGGTGGTTTATGGAATTTCATTCCGGAGATTTTATAGCCTCGAAGATGAGACTCAAAGTAATCGACCTATAGTAATCGAAGACAAAGATTTGAGGATCCTGATGGAGACTGATCTATGCGGTTTTGGATGGTTCAAAACGTATTGGAAAGGTCAAGAGCTTGAAAAGTGGCTACCGCACGATTTGAACGATAGACAGGAATTGTCACGTTCCAAAGTCTGTTCTTCTTTGCTTTGCGCAACCAAAACGACCCTTTTTTGGATTGGATGGTCACGTGTGACGGAAAGTGGATCTTCTACCACAACAGGAGACGTTGAGAACAGTGGTTGGACACCGATGAGCCATTCAGGCACTTTCCAAAAGAGAAAACCCACAAAAAAAGACTACGGTTATTGTATGGTGGTCATATAATTTTGTCAACCCGTCCGAACAAGCAATATTTTCTATACTTGTTACGTAAATCACTATTTTGTATACTGTAACTGGAAATCGGGGAAATGTATGGACTAATACATTTACCTGCAAGTTTCAAAGATATATTTGAAGTAAAAGTTTGGCTTCTATTTCTAGTTTTCGAGTTTGTCTGCCACATAAACATAAACAAGTATATTAGTTTTCAGTAAGTAAATATAATTTCTTCGAAACACTCCTCAAGTTCGCATTTACCTATATAGCATAAATAGGGTTAGCTCGCATAAGTTTTCAGTTTTAATCTTCCTCTTTGAAGATGATCACTTGGTGATCGAAACACGTGTCGAAGTGTTGAAAATAAACGATTTGGAGTTGGGAAAAAACTCCATTAATATTTATCCTGAATTGATAAATACATTTTTGGGGTTCTCTTACTCAATAATGAGATCAATTGCACCAACACCAAAAAATATCAGTTTGGTGTTAGGGCAATTGATCTCGAAATACGTTATTCAAGTAATTTTTGGTATATAATCGATGCCATTCTCAATAATTTTAAAAAACAGATATTGAAAAAATGATTTGCAATCCACGATTGGATAGATCCATTAAAGGACGGCGTTTGTTATCGTTATCATTAGCCACTATTGGAGAGACTAATTATCAATTTGGGAGGGGGGACTATGAAACCTGTGCCCCCTGGTATCCGCCAGTGCCAAATCATCGTTCAAATAAAAAGATAACTCGACTTTTGTAGAGTTCATAAACGGCCGAAGTGGCATGATTAATCGAAACCGTTTTCGAATGCAACACACTCATGTTTCATACCCAGAAAAAAATCAGTGTATTGCAATTTTCTTTCTATCGCGGCAAAACGGACAAAAGCTCGCCTGTGTGTTCGTTCTAGATCCTGGCACAGCGAGAAGAGTTGATGACAAATGAAACTGAACACATTTTTCAGACAGGAAAAACATATAAAAGTGAATGAATTGCTTGTCATTTTTTATCGAAATACGAGCACACAGAGGCTCAAGAGTGAAATATAACGAGAGTGAAATATAACAATCACTTTGTTGACTTCGCCGACGGATCGGATATTCCTTTTTTCTCTGGTTGGAATGCTCAGACTCTTCTTTCAGGTCTTGAAGTTTCGGAAATCGAAATAATATTTCATTCATCAATGCCAAGTTGCTTTTGAAGTTCAATCCAATTATGTGTGGGGGAGCGATTTCGACGTTCCTCAATGGATTCTACTCGTACTTTTTTGTCGAAATGGATAGGAATATTGGATTTTTTTCCATTCTCATCATATCCGACAGGATTTCGAAATACTCTTCCGATTGTGATTTACAAGATGACAGGCGACGTGAAAAACTGAGGTGAAAATAATATGTTTGAGATATGTTTGAGATTGTTTTGTTTTCTATAATGTTCGATGTTGGTTTGCGAAATTTTCTTCCGAAGATTTTAGCCTCGAAGATGACAGTCGACCTGCAGTAGTAATATAGCTGGGAGAGTTCCAGTCCAAAATCCCATGTATTTATGTCGCTTCATTCTGGTCCTTTTTGGACCTCAGGCCCACTTCACACGGAAGGGGTAAAGGTCAGCGCGCCTCGTCTCTGTCAGACGTCCATTATGTGTAAACTGAGCATTAGTGTTCAAAGCCCACTTCAGACCACCTCCACCTTTTCACTTCCACCGTCAGTCAGTCAACCAATCAGCTATCGCGCATACAGCGGAAAATTCAAACCAGTAGATGAACAAAGAGAGTTCTGGCTCAAACGGGAGTGGGGGAAACGTGTAACGTCATCGACGCAGGATGGAATGACTATCGGAGAGGTTCATTCCGTCCTGCGTCGCATTCCAACAAAGCATTCAGCCAAGATATCGTAGAGATACGCAACATACGAGTATGGATATCCATAACGGTCAACTCCAGCCGAATTAATCATCTCCCGCTAAACCAGTGAAGCGTAGAGAGGGAAGAGGGGATATGTGAAAGCACTCCAATGGCCTATAAATAGTCGGATTTCGGAGGAATAAGTCCAGTTATCACCTGAAGACAATTGTGAATACTAACAATCGAAACGTCGTGGCATAACTTGATTTGGAATCTTTAAATTTTCACTTTCAATTTTTTTTACAATAATTTTTTAATTTTCACCACCTTCAAACAAATGTTTATCATATGGTATACAGCATACGAATCGCATGCAAACATTTTTTATAAGTTGTAACTTTTGCTTGTTGTATTGCGGCAAAAAATACTAATACACTGAACAACAATACTCGATATGGAATTAACTGAGAGTTTTAACAAACCTGAGTTTCATATCTTCTGATAAATGATACTTGAATGTTAATAGTGAAGAAGTTACCCTGAAGTGGCACTAACAAACTGTAACATTTTGTGTTGTGTATATCAGTGTTTCGATCACCAAGTGATCATCTTCAAGAGGAAGATTTTGTGTTATACTCTAGTTCATCGTTAAAAAAGGCGAAAACACCAAAAAAAAAAACCATATAGAAACATTACTTACTGATTACTGTGCGTTCCCTTTGCTCCTGCGTGAACATGATCACCACCCTGAGATCGTTATCGCTGTTGGCGAGCGTCTGGTAACCGACGTCTTTCTTCGTCGGCGTCGTAAACAACACTTGTTTAGGAATGACGTGTCCATCAATTATTTTCTCGTCTATTAGAGCGGCGCGATCGTTCTGTAAAGAAAACAACAACATCAATAACGTTGCAAATGACGTCGAGGAAGATGTCGCTAAACGTTGACAGATTTTGGTCCGGTTCGCAAAGACATTTCGATTCATAATGAATCAGAGCTGGAAGTTGGTGTTAGTTTTGATTACACTTTTATGCAGGAAATATTAAAAGTTATCATTGATGCCGCGTGTGTTGGAACAATTTTGAAGGTAAAAGGTGGAAAATATCGTGGAATAAATCGAAAACAATGTGGAACATTGAAAAATACAAATGATGCTAAAGTAACCAATAATAGCTGCATCACAATCAAAACAGAAAACAACACGTTGATATCAAACCCAAAGGAAGTTGCTACGATGTTTAACAACCACTTTACAACTCAAACATGCAGTAAGAACTCATGTAGTACAGGGTTAGCGAAGAACAAAGCCATAATATTTTTAGAACCGACTAATCATACTGAAATATACAATATTTTGAATGATCTACAACCGAAATTTGCTAGTGGACTTGAGTCCATACCCCCTTTGATTCTAAAAAAAAGCTGGGAGATACATTTGTGATCCTCTGGTCGATGCAATAAATGAAAGTCTAGTATCTGGTATCTTCCCTGATAAGTTGAAAATAGCAAGAGTAATACAGATCCACAAAAAAGGATCGAAAGCGGATATAAATAACTATAAACCGATATCCTTTCTACCTTCGCCTTCAAAGGTCTTTGAAAGAGTAATCTACAAGCGATTGCAAGTATTCTTGAATCTCAATAAGATACTTGCTCCACAACGATACGGATTTAGACAAGGGATGTCAACTGAACTTGCAATTCATAATGCGATAACAGAAATTATGAATAATATTGAAGAAAAAAATAGGACAGGAAGCTTTTGGATTCAAAATGACCAACAAAATTATTCTGATAGAAATCTAATTACTCAAGGAGTTCCACAGGCGTCTATCCTAGGACCAATATTGTTCTTGATATACGTGAATCCCTTCTACAATCACTTGGTACAGGTCTAGTCTGTCAATTTGCCGATGATACGTCGGTAACAGTGTCTGGGTCTGATTCAAGAGCTCTCTCCAGAGGGTTATCTGGGGTAGCGGAAAAAATTATCAGGTGGTGTTCGGAGAATGCATTAAAATTGAATACAAACAAAACAGGACTAAGCTACTTCAGAACTTTCCAAAATAGACAGGAATCGATCTATGTCAAATTGGATCATAAATCTATTCCCGAAATAAACGATTTCAAATTTTTGGGGGTCACAGTTGATAGCAGTATCCGATGGGACACACACGTGAATAAATTAAACTCAAGGCTCTGTTCTGTAGCAGGAGTAAATCGAGCAACAAGGGACTAAGTCTCTGTTGAACAGCATGAAGGTATACAGCGTGACTCACGGTCGATGGTAGGTTAGACGTTTCTGGAAAACGCAAAGCATGATTTTTCTGAAAATTTCACCTCTCACATTTACATAAAGCCATTTCAGGTACATTTGGTATAGTTTTGGAACATGCACCAACTTTTGTCAGGAATGAAATTTTCTGAGAAATCGATAATAAAAAAGTTTCCCATTTGTTGCACACTTAGTGGACCACACTGTATACAGGCCAAACGGGTAGAAATGTTGATATAAGGTACCACGAACATGTCATTTCGGACAAAAACCATTAATGTATGAACATCTCCGAAATTCGAAACATAAAATAGATAAAGATAATTTGAAAATCCTCCACACATGCGAAAAAGGGAAATTTGTTGGAATCTATGGAAATTTGTCTTTCTTCTATAGATACATTCACGGAAAGTGTTCAAGAGACTTGGCGCATCTGATTCCAACAAGAGCGGTACAATCCAGCGATCAAAATCTAACATGACATTTTGACTGGACTATTTCTGCTAATGGTGACGAAAGGGCGACCTTATGACGGGTTGCTAGATGATGATGATGAAATAATAACTGCGAGAAAGCGAGAGACGGCTTCTCGTTATTTCGGGACATAAAACTACACTTACGTTGATGGTCATGCATGTAATAATGTGGAGTAATTCCATTTAGGACTTCATCAGAGCATAGACGCTGCTCGAAATGGTAACAGGACGATGCAGGTTTTGAAAATTGTGAAAGATGAGGATTGCAATAACGTAGAGTAGACAGACGAAAGAGGATTGATATTTAGTGATTTCACGCCCCTGTTTTCCAGAGAGAAATTATAATACAGTAGCTGAATAAACACATACTGTTGGGAGGAAGAAGGAATATATATGCGTTAACAATTTGGGTGTGGTCGGGGTTGAACCCGGCACATTCAAGAAACTACTACTATGTTCTTTCGTTCTTTGACAAAGTGTTCTCCCCATTTGGCCAATATAAGCCATATTGTTGATCGCCCAATATGTTAAAGCCTTCCAAATATTCAAGGATATGGTGGATTACGGTTTTCTCCATGAATTTTGATATCACTGATAGCAAATCGACTGGTCTATGTCTATGAATTCACTCATTACTTATTAATATTGTCAGATTCGCCTATGTATTTCGAATTCAGTAATCTGTTCATCTCCACATGTTTCAGTTTACTTCGAATCTTCAATTTGATCTCGTGTAATAAACAACTTAAAAAAAAGTAATATACCCGAACTCCCAATACAAATTTGATCCCCACATACGTTAGTCTCATAATTTCCGGTGATACTAACAAATCCCCGCCTCAAAATTGATATTTCGTGACCTTACATCGAGTAAGAAGATAACAAATCGCAAATATTTACGTTCCTATTCTGCAGTTTCGTGTGTCTGTCGGAAAAGTTGCTACAGTTTAAGACGTTCAGTTTATTGTCGATACTCACCCCGAAACCTTCATCGATTGGGATGAAAAAAGTATGGCCTCCTTCTACTTTATAGATATCTTGTTTGGCGTTCTGTTGAACTTTCTGACGGAAATTCCTGCAAGAGAGAGATTTATGAGAAACTTTTTAATGGCGACGGAGTACCAGGTGGGCGAGTATTGGGAAAGCTTTTTTCCACGCAGACAAGAGAGATTTACTGTTTATTGATCGTTGAGATGAAGGATTTCACAATGAATATACACGGAAACGGAGAGTTATTATGTTTGTTATTAGTTTTCCTCACTTTTTGGGAAATAAATGTATTAGCGCTTTGTGAAAAGTTCCTTTTCAAATTGACTGCTTTCTTTCCTTCTTTGGAAGATTCCCCACATTTTCTCGTATAAAGATGGAGAAGATGAAACCCAAAAACTCTCTTTCCCAAAAATTAAAGTTCTTTATTGACCTTCTCTGTTGATACCCAGGGTGATATGAATTAACAAAATCAATTCCAATGCTGACTTTGTTGAATCGACATCCAGCAAATACACAGTATCCAAACGATGATACAGAAGACCTTTATTCTATAATAATAATAATGATAGACAAATGTGCAATGGTTCATCTCAAAAGAGGACGATGCGGGGACTACGGAGAGGGTGTGCAGCTTGTAGATGGAAGCATCCTACACCATCTGGATGCCGGAGAGACGTATACTTACCTCGGGGTGGAACAACGCCACTCACAAGAGGTAACATAAAAAAAAATGTAATATAGCACAAAATAGTTTATGATTGATGGTATCAAATGCTTTTGAATAATCCAACAGAATCAAAATGGTGGCTTCATTTTCATCTATAGCTTTAATTATGTCATCTACGATCTCTAATAATGCTGTTGCACAACTATAACCTGACTGTTTATGTGCCAAATATTGTAACGATCAATGAAATGGCGCATTTTGATTTTCCATTACTTTCTCTATAATTTTGGAACATGTCGGGAGGATACTTATTGACCTTGAATCATTAAAATTTTGTGGTTGATTATTTTTTGGTAGGGGTATAATTTTTGCACATTTCCATGCATCAGGAAAATAACTTTGACTCATGCATTCGTTTATTATGTGAGTTAGTTCAAATTTTTATAATACTTATATTGATTTCATCTACCCATATGCTTCTGATTTTATGCTATTTATGATGCCAAAGATTTCATCTTCAGTAGTTGGTAAACAAATGAATTGATCACATATACCTTCTTTTCTGTTCGTACCATAAAATCACAGTGAGTCTTCATCCGTTGGGATTCTCTTTGTTTCATTTTCAGACAAATATCTATTTTACTGTAAATAATGTCCTACATGGCGAAATGACTCAGTTACAAGTTTATTACTCTTGTATTCACATTTATTATATCACTTATATTATATTGGGCATTCTGTAACTCAAGGAAACATAGTACTGTTTTCTTTTTTGAAGATAAATAAATTTTTTGAACCTATTTCCAAAGTGAGATGTACCATATCTCCAAGTGTTATCACGTGTGATAATAATGAATTAGGTCCTGTAGAAATGTGTTTCAGTGCTGATAATTGAGTATTTCGTCCACAATTATCTGTAACATATTATCTCGATTTCATATTTCATTCATCAAAATATCTCCATTCATTTCCTCTTAGATTATTAACTGTTCATACAAATATTTCAAACAATTGAATATTTAGTAATCAACAAACCGAACTCTAAAGTCTATAATTTGTCTTTCTAGTACAGAATCACAGTTCTTTCCATCGCTTTCTAGCGGGAAAATAATTGGAAAATGTGTACGTATCCAGTGAAATTTTTGGACAGAAAACATATTATTTGATGTAGAATGTATACATGTGAATGAAATTATATCCATTCTTTGTTGAATTGTATTGATGTGAAGCAAAATTAACACCAATTTTGTTGTCTCATGAGTTTGTGCTAAACAAATGATAGAAATACTGAAAAATACTATACCAAAAGTTGAATGGTTATTTTTCATCATCGTTCTTTATGAACCTCCCTTTGCGAATTTATCAGTTTCATTCGCCAAAAAGGAAATAGCGACCTTCGCCAAATATTGCATAGAGTATTCGCCAATTTAAACAGTAATACCTCATGGTCTAAAACTATATTTACTGAAGGCTGTATGTATTCACGTATCATTCTCAAAATAAATCGAATGGGAGAAGACAATAGAGCAATGAATTCTAAAGTCGACAATTGGATATCTTGATGCAATAGCCAGTATTGAAAAAATGGCGAAAGTTTTGGTATTTTGATATTTTGGCGATTGCTATGGGGTGTGGTTTTTTTCTTGATTGCTCTTCCAATTGATTTAGGAACTAAAATGTAACATAGAAGCTGGAACTATTCGGCTACAATAATGATTCGATTTTCAAGAGAGCCGAGATTCTTCCAAAGGAATGTATGGTTTCGGTGTAAAACATTCTTCACCCTTAACCTAACCTAACCTAACCTTAAAATGTATCCCATTTCATCTCTCGTAATGAGCACACTATTTCATTTCCTCCATTATAACTTTTATGCTGGTATTAATTGTTTCGTCTTCAAAATGTATTTGCATCTGGTTATAAAAAGCGAATTCAGTGAAACCAAATTTCAGTATCGACATCTACCGGTCATTTCTGAAAATAAAAGAGGCAACCCCGGTATAATAACATTTTATTGGTCATAAATATGAATCACCATGTCAAAGTTTGCAATTGCTGAGTTCTCTGTTGAGAAAACGTAACTTGAAACCTGATAGAATTTTCCTTTGTTCGCTCATTAGCGAATTTACATCGCGGAATAATTTGTTCTTTACTAACCTGACTCTGTACGGGTTTTGTGTTTGTGGTATCAAAGATTCGTAATTTTCCAAGAACTCCCAGGCCGTTGGGTTATAAATGCGATTCGTAGCTGAATCCGGAGATCTCGTGGGGACCAGAACTTCGTCGATTTTGTGGAGAACCTGGAATAAACGCAACAAAAAACACACTGAGAATGTTTCGGAATGTTAGCTTTGGCGAACGTATTTGATGGATGGATTGTGTCAGAGGCGGAACAATATTTGGGGCACTTCAGTTATTGTTCTTTGAAAAATATTTTCTGTGGAGGAAATAATGATTTTTGGGTATATAACCTACAAAATATGAAAAAATTAGTATTTTTTCTATGTTTATCGGTTCCATCGGAAAAAAAACAAAAATTATGTAGATGATGTACCTTGAAATAGAAAATAATCCCTCAGCAATCTGAGCTTATCGATGATTAGATTCTCTTTTCAGGTTTCAGTTCCAAGAGGACGTTCATCAACAAGAATTTGGCATGGCAATGGGTTTATCTTCATCACCACTTCTGTGTAGCATTTTCATGGATGTTTTGAAGAAACATACATCAAGAAAGGGCCAAAGAAATAGTAGAAATATACTGATGAAGGATTTGCTATTGGAGATCATAACTCAACTCTCCTTTCTAGATATGATGCTAAATACTCTCGATATGGGTGTTTACTGAAAGAAAACTCATTCTTTTGGATATTTTATGATTATAGATTAATTGTATTTCGATTTCCACTATGAGAGGTATACAAAACCGCTTTACAACAGCTTCCTCAAGGAAGATTTGATTTACTACTTTTAGATCAAAACATTTCATATTCCTAAAACATTAGTATAATCAGATAATAAATTTCAATCTAGTTTCAACTACCTGATTTCTATACTTTCCAGAAAGTCCAGTTCCGAACCTTCCTTCAGGAAACATAGTTTTCAATTCACGGTTTAACTCTTGTCCGTCTACAAGCAGGTGAGAACCATGCGTTGAATTGATTTCTCCATTCTAGAAACCGCTTCTATGCTCTTTCAAACGTGCTTTGAGTGTTCTTACAGTTTGACCTATGTGAAACATCGGGCATGAACCACAATGAAAGTTGAGGTTTCTATCAGACCCTTTTGGATTTTTTCAGGAACGTTCATGACTACCGCGCCTCTGGAAAAACACCAAGATCGAACCAAATGGGGCGGTGTGTGAAATGTTTGTCGTTAAAGTAGGCCACCCGCCCCCGAATCTCTTTTGAAGGAGGGTGTAATACTGAAATATTGTGGGACTTTTGTTTCAAGCGACCGAAGAATGTATGGCCAAAGAAAATCCCGCTTAGGTGTTTTCGATAGTTCTTAAGGGTGCACATGAAAATGCGGTAATCAGATATGTTACGTTCAACAAGACCTAAATTTCTGATTTTTTGTGATGCTGCACAAACTTGAAAAACACAGCAGTCTTCGGAAGCCAACATGTTTAACAAAACTCCATTCCTGCCAGGAACACTTCCTTTTCTTTCCTGGAATCAATATTAAAACTGAAGACAAAATGAAAAATCAGCAAGTAGCTCCCGACAAATCATTTCCAGCTCTCTAATCAAACATTTCTCATTACTCAATATCCAGACCAAAATTGCATGATGTTTTTCCGGAAACCAATTCATTTTCTCTAGTTTTTCCATCCAGCTGTAATCGATATTTCATTAATTCAGAATAATCCTCTGTCCAACAAATTATGTATAATGTTTATTAATTTAATCCGATGGATATACTGAAATAACGAGTTTGAGTTATTTAAGCAGATTGAATATTTGCGTGGATAATCATTTCATTGAAATTATTTACATTTGTGATGAATTATATCACAAAATGTTGATTACGTCAGTCATACAGTGTGACCCATTTTTAATGGAAACACCCCCCCTAAAATTTGAAGTTGTAAACCGATTTTGATTTTTTTTTGAAATGTCAAGTACTAAAAGGTCTACCTTGGGACAACATTTGAAATGTTTATTAAAGTTTCAGGGCATACTAAGATATTTTTTCGGGATTTGTTATTAGCGATTTTTTTATTGAAAAAAGCACTACGCCACTGAATTCAGAGAGCCTCTAAACAGGTGTGACCAAAATTTCATGGAAAAATATTCATTATTAACAAAGTTATGACAACTCAAAAATTCGAAAACTCACACAGCTAACAGTCACAATATATAGGGTGATTCAAAA